CAGCATTTTCGGTCCGTATTGACAGATGCCGACAAGACGCTCGCGGATGAGTATGAAGACGCAGTAGCCGAAGTAGAAAGCGCTGCAATGACCCGAATGTCTTCAGATGAGCACGTTACTGAATGAATGCATCTGCTGGCCGGCTGTTGGTTTCAGCAGAGTGGTTGGTTAGAGTCCGTCTTATTTAACGGCTGCCCGTTTCACCAACGCTTCCGCCAACCGTATGTGTAGCCAGTCGATTGGAACGATCTTGCTCCCTGATACTAACTGCATCGTGGATCCCTAGGATAACAAGAAAGGTACTTGGGCTGTAGAGGCGCTGCAGACCTAGCGCCACTCGTGCAGCAACGGCGCCTTAGCTTCAACTGTTCTAGGCACGCTAGCCTGGCTTCTGGAAACAGCCTGGTCCTCATTGGAAAGCCGCTGCGTATCGTCCATTGGTGTGACTATCAACCAACCGGCATCCTTTGTATGGATGAGTGATCTCGCCCGCGTCGACTGGGAAGCTATTGGCCTTTAAGTACATGTCGCTGTGCCCCTCGAGTACTGGCAACAATGTAGCAACTCGCCTGAGACGTCGTGAGAAACGAGTGATGGACCAATGTCGCGGCAGAGTATAATTGCGTTCCGACTACTGAGTCGTCCGTTAGCTACTTCGATAAGCATCGCGGGTACCAAATTGGGGACGTTTTGGTAGTGGGCGATCCTTTGATGCCACCTCAGGCCACATAGTCTCACTCTCAATGGCAGGGTTTGCTCCGTCAAGCGGCGACCACTTCAAGCAATAACCATCTACTGCGTACTATTGAAATGCTCACTTCAGAGTTCAACCCAGGTATACGCACGAATACCTGGGCCTAGGGTGAGCGGGCAGAAGAAGGTTTGAACCAGACCGGGTAGGTCGTAGGGGTCCTATTGGGGTTGTCTTTGGACATTTCGGCTCCTAGGCCCTTCCATGCCACGTGCCGTGTGGCTGATAGCACAGAACGGGCGGTCGACCCTGGTGTTCCCCCTGCCAATCGTGCGATTTTGACGGTATTTCCAAAGTACGAAGAACAAATGTCCCAACGACATGGGAAACGAGATGAGCGTCTGTCGCCATCTCATGGCGGAGAATGCTTGCCTCGGGGTTGTCTGTTGGATTCTACGGCGTATATCCGTACCCGTGCGGATACAGGAGGAAGCCGAAGCAGGCACATGCGGCGTGTATCGCATTCTGCATATCAACGAGCTCGACACCCTCTTCTGCGATCTGCGGCCTAGTGCTTCACTGAACGAAAGGGTTGTTTAGCATAGCCATCGCAAGCCCATCATCAATAGAGAAGGGAGGCGCGGGAGAAGGGCCTCCAATAAGCGGCGTGTATGCTTAGGCGGACAGGAACAATCAGGGATGGCATCCAGAGGAGGGACGGGAAGACCCAATCGAAATGGAGGGACTGGGTAACCCAATGACGACGGCGGTTTGCATAGTGCTTCCGCTGACGACGATGCTTCGTGAGCCGAGGCGGTTGTGCGTTTTCGTTTCGAAGCGAATGGTGGCAGAAGGTGAGCCGCGAACCAAGTTGGCAGCGACCAGCCCAAGCAGTTCAGCGCAGTGTATCCATAGTCTCGTGGACGATGGGTTATTGGATTTTCTGATGGTGAGTGTTTGTCATCGGCGTAATGAGGCAAACTTGTCGACATTTGGCTGCTGGCCATGGCCGTCGTTGACAAGAATAGAGTCGCAGTGTAGTGGGATCCCTTGTCTTGTGCAACAGAAGGAGAGGGGGTGGGGTCCCTACGAGAGGAGGGAGGAGCTCTGGCGTGTCCGAACTTTATGAAGCGGTGTCCCAGATTTCCAAGTATCGACGGCTTCATTTTGATCAACCCCAATACAGGACACCACAACGAATGGTGGATGGATTGGGATGGTGATGGGTGGGTGGGATTTGTTGCATGCCAGGGTCTAGAAAGGAAGAGCGAAAAGAAGGGCACTGAGAGACTGAGAGGAAGGAAGTTACGAACCCAGACGGCCGTTTCCTTCCATTTGGAGAGACCCACCTGCTGGGTTCAAGGAAGAAGGAAGGAACTTTGGACCGGGGGAAGAAGAATACCCATTTTCTCGAACGGGGGGTCCATCGGCGGGGCAGGTCGGCAGGGAAGAGGTTATGGGAAGAGGCCGGTTCGGGGGTTCCCTGGTCCTGCCGGAGCAGTGCGACTGGCTGAGAATGGCAGACGTGGAAATTCGAACCTGCCATCCGGTGGCCCAAAGCCCTGGCCGGTGGAGGCGGTTGAGTCGCGGGTACATGATCACACGCAGAGTAAGGCTTGCAGAGGGAGGTACCTTACCTGGCGGGGCAGGATCACCTCAACTTGTCGAGTACTTTCCAAGGTACAAACCTAGTAGGGAAAAGCAGGAGGCAGGAGCAGCATTACCCGTAGGAGCAGGAACAAGTGTCGAGAGTCAAGACGGCCCGGTCTAAGGTGTGTGGGATATTGGCAAGAGGTTTCGAGCAGACGCTGGCAGCAGAGAGGGAAACTTTGCAAGGCGCTGGATGCTGTGCCAATAAGAAGACCAATTCGGGGTTGTTAAACCTGGCCACCGTAGGAAACAAGAGGTATCCGCCATGAACTGCTCACAGTGATGAATTATGGGTGCCGATATTGTTGCAAACCTCACCCACAAACATGACCCGGCACCCAGCGCGACCCCTCGCCAGAAGTAAGTAGGCTTAGCACTGGAGGGGCAAATCGTTGACAAGCAAGGCAATAAACAAGTCCTTGCGTTTTTTACCCACGCACGCCACGCCGTCAAGTAACCCTTGGGTTGGACCAAGGTAACTCGAATTATGGTCACTGGTGACGGGCAACCATTGGAGATGTAATGCACAGCACAGGCACCTCTGTACTGCGTGGTGCGTAGTGTACATACCTATGCTGCGGTGCTGGCTGCTGGCTGCTGCATAAGGTACCTTAGCTCGACGGACAACCCGCGCAGGGTCATGTACTGCTGGAAAATGATGAGAGTACCAGGCAAATACCGCACGCAAGGTGGGCGACCCACGGGAAGACGGGGTATATTTTCGTATCCGACCCGGGGTCTGGTAGTATAACGCACGGATCTCTCGCCAAACTCTGTCTCCTTCTGTCCCTGCACAGGGTTGACACGGTCGACAACCAGAAATGAACTTGACAGGCCGCATCCGAAAAGGAAAAAAAACAGAAAGAGGCTGACGTGCAAGATGGCAAGAGGAAAGGAAAAAAAGGAACCAAGGAGGCGAAAAAGTGCATCACCGCCATGCCCATGCAAAGTGGACTATTGCTCGTATGGGAAAGTCGATCTGCCCCGTTTGGTTTGGCTGTCAATCAACTATGCAATGCGCAACGCAGCACTGAGTCTCGACAGGGCGGGCACGGGTAGCGGCCCAACAACGACGAAAATGATGATGGTGCAAGAGTATCGTGGGAGGCGAGGTTAGCCATATGAAAATCTAATAAGAATACAACTCTTTGAGCGGGGGCCCAGATTTCCTCATCTGTTGTTTCCGTCTTCGTCAAGGCGATCAATGTTTAGCATCCGTATTGATCCAAAGTCGGCATATCCCCTATTGATCCATTTTGGCGCGTTTGATTGCCACCAAGTTGAAGAGATATGACCATTTTAGTGCTAGGAAACAAGACTTGCCGTCTGCCGCTTAATCCAGCTCTGAGCGTGGTGGCATCACTAGTTCTTGACAAGACACCACAATTGACCAACGCCTCCTATTTTTTTCTTCTTAATTCTCCGCGACGGACACCATCTGTCTGCCCTGTGCAGATTGGATTGGATCGGTCATCTCCCCCTGGAACCACCACAACTGTCTCGACGGATCTGGGTCGTCTGTACTCCATAAAGTATCCGTCTTCTTACGAAATCAACGAGACGGGGCCCAATGGCAGTTACCAACAGCAAGCCGACATCCATCCGAACCTGAGCTTCAGGCTTCAGCTGCTCCGTACCTACTTTCGTTATGGCGTCGACCCCACGACTTCAGTCTTGAGAGTCTGTTCGCAATGCGCAAGGCCATCATCTGGGCGTATGGCGTACCTCGCTCCAAAAGCCCGCGCGTCCATGCTGCACGGCACATGCAAAAGCCGCAGTACCACCATCGTCTTCACACGGTCTGAGCTGGCCATCTGATCTCTACGTGCCTTGCCTTACTCTGGCGTACGTACATGTATGTTTTGCGCAGCGCCTGCATGACTCCCCCACCACATCTCCCGCTTCTGTTCCGCCGAGCAAACAATGACAACGTGAACTTGGCCATTCTAGAAAACCGGGTTGGGGCAATTGGAGCACGTACCAACTCCTTTCGAATCGCTTTCTTCCCAATATCCGTTTCCCAGGGGCCTACGGAGTACCTACGGCTACACATTGCGAACCTGAGATAGGAGTCAGAAAAGAGAGTAAATAGCGAGGGGAGGGGGGAACCAGCCGAAGCTACCTACCTTACCTAGGCCGTTGTTAGCCCCAGGAACCCTGCCCCTCAATGTACCATCGCGGCCTCCTTAAGTAGTTTACCCTGATCTTATTACAGAGTACGTAGGTACATCGCGGACCTTGTACCTGAGAAAGGCCGACGACCTCGCACCAAGAACGTAGAAGCCCAGGACGAGCAATCCCCATCCATCCATCCGCCCACCAGCTGCAAATTCACCCACGCTAGGTTACCGTACCTACATGACATGGTGGCTACAGTGCACCTCATGCTCTCTCAGTCTCTATGTACTGCGTAGACTCTAGCTGCAAGCCCAGGGCCTCCATCCGTCTTGCGCTGTTCTCTGGGATTGGGATTGCCAGGGCCAAAGGTACAGGTACAGGTACAGGTGCAGAGGTACAGGGACCAGGCCCAGGTTTAGCCGAACAAAGAAAAGGGAAAACGTGCAGAGGTCCCCACCAGCAAGACGCCTCTCTTGCTGCTTTCTCTCTCTTCCCCTTCCACCGTCCCTCTTCCTCCCCGTCAGTCACGTCTTGCACACACTCTCTTCCTCTCGATTGTGACTGCAAAGGTATATACTTGGTCCCTTCCCCATTTTCCGCCCTCCTTGCCAGACGCAGTATACCGTGCTGGCGGGCGCTCCCGACAAGACAAACCCAAACCTCTCCCGTCTACCGTCTTTCTTTGTCGACTTGCTCCTCGGATAGGTAGGAAGCGGAAGCCACTGGACGTCTTTTCCAATTGCGGCCCTGAATCAAACGGCGCAGACCAACGACCGCTACCAAAAGGGGGGAAAAACCAACGCTACTTTTGCTCTCTCATCTTACCTAAGGGTAGGCTAGTAGCTTCTCCGACACCAATCGACTAATTCTTGTTACGACCGAGACAAGACGACGCATCATCCCATCCCACACACTCACACACACACACATACATACATACCGACGCCTGCGAAAGGAGGAAAAAACCGAGGATAGGAGAGCCACGCCATCTTCCTGCCATTTCCAAACCATACCCGGGACCTGTCGAACCTTGAACTTGCGACGACACGCGAACCTGCCGCAAACGTGCATTTGCACCTACCTGTACACCCATCTGCCCAGCAACCCAATTCCTGCTGAACTCCGACGGCACCGAACTTTTTTCCTCTCCCCTTCTTCGGCCGTTCTCTGGATTGCAGTTTATCCGTCCTCTCGTCGCCAACTCTCACACCATCCTTTTTCGACACCCTGCAATCATGCATGTTCAGCCTGCTTTCCATCCGACCCAGCATTGTTGATACAACCATTTGAAACACCCTGCCAGGCTTCCCAGGTTCTTGTGTGACAACCCGCCACAGCCACATACCCGGGACCGACCTCTGCCTTCTTGTTCGCTTTCCTGTTGGCATTACCAGTCACACGGGTGGATCCCAGATCCTCATCGCCTATACCGTCCCTATTCTGATATCACCTTTGCAATTCTTAAAATATACTTCACGCCCAGCCCTCTCCTACATTACGAGGTGCTCCACGATTTGACGATTCGCGCCCTCCGATTCGAACAAGCCGCCGACTACTTCACCCTTTCACGGCACGTTTGCCTCCCCCCGCTGCCGACTTCACCTGATCGCGCAGTCTTGGACGCGGCGCTTTCCTAATGTTCAGTCGGTCTCGGAAGGGTTCGAAAGGGTTCGGCTTTGGATCTTCAAGCACCAAAGACAGTCAGGTTAACCACCTTCTCGATCTTGGTCTTGTGAGCCCCAAGGCCATTCAAGACCCCTACCGTCCTGGTACCGCTACAACGACAAGGACAAACAACACGTGGACGGATGCGCCGTCCTTTCCAGAGAAGAGTACGTAGGCCCCCATTTGACTCCGATGCGTGACTGCTTGAGCGTCGCGAATTGACTTTCCGTCCGAACGACCGACCGTCAATCTGTTGCTTGACGTCCAAACTTGGGGAAAAGTTACTCTTGCTAATCATTCTGCACACAGACGTCTCAATAGCTCGCGGCACAGGACAGCGCTCCAACGCATCAGTTCGATCCGGAGACAGCGCACATCGAAGAGGCGACAGCTACTCATCCAACAACATGGCATCAGGCGCCGGCCGCAACAGGAGGGAGCGCACCTTTGTAGGGAGCGAATGCGCAGTATGCGAGGAGCCATTGGAGCACACTCTGCGCGGAGAGCGCATTCTACAATTCTCGTGCTCGCACGTATCTCACGAAGCTTGCTTCTACGAGTTTATTCGCGAATTCGAATCGCAATATTGCCCCTCGTGCGATGCGCCTCTCCATCTCGACACTAGCCGGGGCGGCAATGTCTTGGATATTGGTAAGCGCACTCCCATGTCTTGCTCGCCTGAGACATGGCTAATTCTTTTGCAGAAAAAATCAGCAACCTCGTTCGATCTGTCTCATCCACCGACACTAGGTCAAATCACACCCCTACGCCCACGGCTACGCCATGGGACAACCCAACGCCCACTCCGCGCCCCACCAGCATCGAGTCAAACCAACGAAATATGGCCAGCACCCACACCCGCGAAAGCGCGCCCCGAAGCACTGGACGCGACAGGGAGAGCAGCCAGCCACCGGCTTCCGAGAGGTACGGCCCTTCAAGGCACGCTCGCAGCGACAGCGAGGCCACCGGCGTTGCGTCGTCTGGTGGTTACCCCGAAACAACCCAAAGCGGCCCGCCGCGCAGACACGATTATGACGTCCAGGCAATGGAAACCACACCGGGCAGCCCCCGCGCGATTACGAGGAATCCGATCCCGGCACCGACTGTGACAGTTCGATCCGAGTTCCCCACCATTAACAGGTCTCGGCAGCAGCAGACTTTGACCTGCCTTATCACCGTAGAAGTACCCGACAACAAGTGGCGGCCCGATCCCGAAGATCTTGGGTCAGCCCCGCCAGGCCCGCCTGCAGTGAATGCCCGCATCGACGAGGCGTTTGCGCGACCGCCATCCCCGGCCCGAAGTGCGCCTCGATTCTATCCCTACGAGTCTCGGGAAGTACTGGAGGAACAAACCGAAAATCTGAGAAACCGTGTGGACAACTGGCATGGGCTCGATTTCAGCAGGTAAGATTTTGGCACACATTCCTTGCATGCCTGCGGCCAATGACACGACTGACACACCCCAGATTCGGCAAGCTGCGGCTCTATGGCACACTACGTGTCGGCAAGGACAAAGCATCCTGGCAGGAACTGGAATGCTTCCTGTTCGCTGAAATGTTGATTTGCGTAAAGGAGAAGAAGGTAGCCCTCGCAGGGCAGTGGGATGAAAACGGCATGCCCAAGAAGACCACCCGTTGCACACTCAAAGGTTCCATTCTCATCAAGAAACACCTCAACGAGGTCTCGGAAACGGGCAACAGTGAGACACACCTTCCTTTTTGCCATTCAGGCCTTGACGTTAACCATTCGGCAGTTGATGAGAACATTCTTACACTCAACCTTTCTGTCGCGGAGCTGCCCCAGTTCCACCTTCGATTCGAGAACCGCAATCAGCTCAAGCTGTGGCACCAAGCACTACTCGACTTGAACGCTGTCGAAACGTCGCCGGTCCGCAGCCCAGAGTACGACCGCGGAGAGTTCTCCGAGACGGACGAGGAGGACTGGCAGCGTGGGTCGCGACAACAAAGGGTGTCGTCGATTGCCTCGTCTTGGGGCGGCCCTAAATCCACAACAACGGCGCCCACCGAGTACACCAACTTCCAGAGGAGCCCGACAATGCCGGCTTCCATCCACGTTCCCATCGACGTGGTCGTGGTCGTCCCTATCTCATCGTCGATGCAAGGCGTCAAGATCAACCTGGTTCGCGATGCTCTCAAATTCATGGTCAACACCCTCGGCGAGAGAGACAGGATGGGACTGGTCACCTTCGGATCGGGCGGTGGCGGCGTACCCATTGTGGGCATGACCACAAAGGCGTGGCCTGGTTGGGGCAACGTATTGGGCTCCATCAAGCCGGTTGGGCAAAAGAGCCACCGCGCCGACGTGGTTGAGGGTGCCAATGTCGCCATGGACTTGCTCATGCAGCGCAAGTACAACAACCCGATCGCCACCATTATGCTCATCAGCGACGCCTCTACTTCAGACGCCGACAGCGTCGACTTTGTCGTGTCGAGAGCCGAAGCAGCCAAGATCACCATTCACTCCTTTGGCCTCGGCATGACGCACAAGCCCGATACCATGATTGAGCTCTCTACCCGCACCAAGGCATCGTACACCTACGTCAAGGACTGGATGATGCTTCGCGAGTGCCTTGCCGGCTGCCTCGGCGCCATGCAGACGCTCTCTCACCAAAACGTAAAGCTCAAGCTGAAGCTGCCCGAAGGATCTCCGGCCAAGTTCCACAAGATCAGCGGCGCCTTGCAGATTACCAAGCGCGCCACGGGTCGTGACGCTGAGGCCTCCCTAGGCGATCTTAGATTCGGTGACAAGCGCGACGTCTTGGTGCAGCTTGTCATTGTACCGGATAACACGTCCCAGGAACAACTACCGCAGGACCCTTGGGACAACATCGTCTCGGGTCTGGAGGCGCTCGGCGGAGCTGGCGATGGCGACGACCAGCGGGTGACATCTGTCGAGGAGGTGCCTCTCATCCAGGCTGACCTTACATGGGGTGACATTCTCCGAGATGGCACGCTCTCCCATCTTCCCCGCCCTTCTCTGCTCGCCATCACTATGCTTCCGGCCCAGACGAAAAACAAGAATTCGTGGGCAGGATCGCCCCCGATCCCCCCTCACCCGCACATCGTCCAGCGGCGCATGGAGCTGCTGACGTCGGATATGCTAACCCGCGCCTTGACCCTCGTGTCGCGCGGTCAGCACGACCGAGCGCACACCCTACTCAACGAGACCCGATCTATTTTGAAGGGTCTTGGAAAAGGTGGTCTGCCTCCGATCCCTCCACCGACGGCACCACCAACGAGATCCCTCCCTTCCACCCCGCACCCCGGCAACGATGCCTCGCCCTCCATCACCCCCGACAGAAAACAAACTCCATCGCCCACTCAATCGGCCAACTCATCCGCCGTCAACGGCTACCAGGCCACTGGTATCGGGCGCAGTCGGTCCAACGATGGCCTCGGTCTCGGTGCCGGTATCGATGCCAACACCGTTGCCGCTCTGGACCACGAGCTCGAGAGTAGTCTCGAATGGATCAGTCACCCTGCCGTCTTTGGCCGCGACAGCCGCAAAGCTGTTCTCCAAGCGATTGGAGTGATCAGCTCCCAGCGAGCCTTCACCTTCCGTACGCCGATTGAATCCCTCTGGTCTGGTCGCGTGGCGGGTGTGAAGAAGCTCACCAGCAAGAGTCGTGAGTGGCGCGAGGAGGGTGGCGGCGAGGGCGGCATCATGGAGGAGGCCTAAGTGGCCTCCTCGATATGCCATACTTTTCTCTGACTTCATGGGAACACTTGGACTGCCTGAACGACCAGGCGGCGGCGTATTGGTTCCTTGGGAAAACACTTTCTTACGGTCGTTACTTGGCACGGACTCGTCTTTGCCAACCATCATACCCCCTGATCTACAGCTGATTTGTTTTTTGTTACCGATATAGCTGCTTTGCTCACGTCTTTACCGCACCGCAGCATGCTTTGCCGGAAAGATACCACAAATGTTTTTTGCTATTTTATTCCTTTCTTACCGACTATGTCTTCGAGCACGCGTGTTCTGTCCTGCGAGACAACTCGTCGTGCCGTCGCATCTCATGAAAGCTTTCTCGCGCTGCTACGTCGCCGAGAGCCCTACAAATCATGTAATTTCGCTTCTTATTGTCATGTCACTGATGTCTGGAGAATGGGAGGAGGGGTACTGGATGACGGGAGAGGATAGTGGGCTCGGCTGCGAAAAAGCATGCTGTACATGTTTGGGAATGAACGACACGGACGTGCGGAAGAGTAGAGCAATACTACCTGCTGTTGACATGCCACATCAGATCATTGCCTTTTGTGACTCGAGTGAATGTGAACCGTGGTGGGCGGATGAGTCTTTTAAATTCCAGCAACCAGGCTGAGTCTCATTGGTACGGCTGTCTGAATCTACACGGAGTCTTACGTTGACAACTTCCCTTAATTCAGATGAGCTGGACTGGTGGAACATCACTGCTCCAATCCTAACTGCGATGCTACTACACTAACAAACAAGCAGAAACCGAGTCACTCTGGCATGGACATCACGGGAAAGGACTTGTTTAAAAGACACGACACGAGTTCCAATCTATAGCTGCGAGCTAGGCACATATAACTCCAAGGCGTAGACCCCCCACCCAAAGCCTGTTTTTTCCCCCCCTTTTCTTTAATTTTCTTCTTCTTGTTGTCGCCGCGAGGCTACATGTAGCTCTCGACTCTAGATCTTGGGTTCGAACTCGTGAAGGTGACGAGGCGCTGCAAAGTTTGGTTCATTGCGTTAGACGGAAAGATCGCGATGCAGATAGAGAGGTAAGTAGGTATGGGTGGTAAGAGACTTACTCTATTCCTTCTTGTCGGTGGCTTCGTACTTGTCCTCGGGATAGGGTCCGAACTCGGTGGTTTGACGCTTTTCCTTCATGTTGCTGCTCTCGTACTTGTCCTCAGGGTAGGGTCCGAATTCCGTGGTCTGGCGCTTGGAGTTGGTAGACTCATATTTGTCCTCGGGATAGGGTCCAAATTCCGTAGTCTGACGCTTCTCCTTCATGTTGTTGCCGTCGTACTTGTCTTCGGGGTAAGGGCCAAACTCAGTGGTTTGACGCTTCTCTTTCATGCTGTTACCCTCATACTTGTCCTCGGGATAGGGCCCAAACTCGGTGGTCTGGCGCTTCGAGCTCTTGCCTTGGTAGCTATCCTCAGGGTAGGGGCCGAACTCCGTAGTCTGACGCCTGGTCTTGCCCTCGTACTTGTCTTCAGGGTAGGGGCCAAATTCAGTGGTCTGGCGCTTGCTGTTCTCCTTGCCCTGGTAGCTGTCTTCTGGGTACGGACCAAACTCCGTGGTCTGGCGTTTCGTGTTGCCCTCGTACTTGTCCTCAGGGTACGGGCCAAACTCTGTCGTCTGGCGTCTTTGGTTGTCCTTGCCCTGGTAGTTATCTTCAGGGTAAGGGCCAAATTCTGTGGTCTGACGCTTTCCATTCTCCTGTCCCTGGTAGCTATCCTCGGGGTAGGGCCCAAACTCGGTCGTCTGGCGCCTCTGGCTCGCCTTGCCCTGGCAGCTATCTTCAGGATAAGGGCCGAACTCGGTAGTCTGGCGCTTGCCGTTCTCCCTGCCCTGGTAGCTGTCCTCAGGGTAAGGGCCAAACTCGGTGGTTTGGCGCTTCTCCGGAACGGCGAGCTTGGCACCCGGGGCGGCGGCGGCAAGGCTTGCGGCGAAGGCAAGGATGGCGGTGACCTTTGTCATATGCATGATGGCGTTTGGAATTGTGAGAGGAAGGATGAATGTTGCTTGAAGACGGTTGCTAGAGGCAAGGTGAAGACTGAAGATGTTGAAGAAGCTTGGAAGACTGTGAGGGTGTTTGACTTGATGAGTGAGTGAAGAAAATAGTTGCTGTTTCCGGGACGAAATGCACCCTTAAATATTCATTTTCCTGTTCAACTTGGGTGTTCGACTGGACTAACAACCCATCAGTGAAGTTGTCGTTTCGTTCAAGATTCAGAGGCCACGCCATCGGTCCGACGGATACGGGTGCTTTCGTCACTCTTGCTGTTCGTGATACTCCATACTTCCGAGTCCACAGAAGAACTACAGCTCAATGGCATGACTCGTTGATCCGCGACCTTTTCCAAAGATCAAAAGTCAACGCATCGCCGCCCGTCGACGAGAGTAAGTCGAGATGATTGCGTCTCCCATCGGGAATTCCAAGTTGACAAAGTTTGAACTCCGGGGATCGAGATCATCATGAGTCTAACCTTTGAAAATCTCAGAGTTTTTCGTGGCCCAAGGAACAACTCTGGGCATGAATCGTCAGTTTCTCTCAAGACCCGTGGGAAGCCTCTCGATCGGGCATATAAGGCGGATATCCGTCGGGCCCACGATGCTGGTCTTAGCGTTTGCGATTCCTGACCACAAACTTCTTCTCTAACCTCTTTCAGTCAACCCCGTTCTAACAATCCCCCTCTTCACACAATGGCTCTCAAACAGTTCTTGTCCATGTCCTTCGCCGCGGCTCTCCTAGCGGCACTCTTCTCCGCAAAGTCTCGGCCCCAGACGGAGCTCCAGATCCCACTCGGCAACTCTTGCCCGCGCCCGCGCTATACAGTACGGACGTTGTCGTATGATCCACTCATTCAGCACATTGAGAACTTTATCACTCCGGAAGAGTCTCAGTACCTTCTGCAGATCGCGTGCGTCAAAATTCCTCCATATTGCTGAAAATTCGGGGTATACTTGCTGACTGACTCGATACAGGCAGCCTAGGTTCCAGCGGTCTCGCGCCATCGGCACTGACGGGCGATCCATTGCTGCGCAGGAACGAACCAGTTCCACGGCGTACCTGTCTTCGGACGATTCTGTCGTCCAATGCATCAGATCTCGCGCTTCGGAGTTTCAGGGCTACGTAGACCTTGACATGATGGAGGATCTGCAAGTGACCCGGTACTTGGAGGGGCAGCAGTACACGAATCACTATGACTGGGCAGCGAACCCCGCGGCGAGAAATCAGACGACAAACAGGGAAACGACCTTCTTCGCCGTTCTCGATGTGGAGTGTGCCAGCTGCGGGACACGGTTCCCCAAGATTTCGGTGGACTGGGGTGTCGAGGATGAGCGGTGGTGCAACCTGGTCGACTGCGCGGCCCAGACAGAGCTGACAGTGCGAGCGGTCGCCGGTAGTGCCGTCTTCTGGCGGAATCTCCATTCCGATGGGACCGGAGATGCTCGAACGCTACATGCCGGCCTTCCGGCGGTAGGCGGCAAAAAGATCGGGTTGAATATCTGGACGCGCCGGGAGGTTTAGTGTGCGTGTGAGGGGGGAGACTATCTCCCCGGGATGTTGGACGTTTCGAAACAGCGCACCAATCATCTTTCACCCTTTTGACTCCGCTTTGTCACACGTTCTGTTAGTCTTTAGACCTTGTTTGTCCTGGTTAATCGAGATCTATCTACACGTGTACAAGGGCCAGAAAGTCTACATGCTCGTATTAAGTCCTCCCACACGGCACCTGCTGGTCAATGACACAACTGGAGCCATCTCTAAAGACTCCGGTAAAGGTTTACACTAGTGCTTTGTAGATCATGGCCAACTACACGCAGAAGACTGCAGCCCCTTTTTAGACTTTGGGGCAGAAAGCCGGTGGCATGAACAATGATGATATTCAGCGTGTAGTTTGTGAAGTGCGGTACCCCATTGGGTACATCGGTAATGGCGGCTATTTTGGCTCGAATCATTGGACGCGGCCGCTAGAGCCAACTCTTCCGGAGCCCAAAGCTTGTCTGTGGTTCCCGAAAGCTTCTTTTCTGGTAGACGTACACGCTAGCAGGCATCAGAGTCATGGTCGATGGCGAAAGGACCAGGGCCGTATCGCATCCGAGTAGCTCGGTAGATCAACACGTACTAGAGAGCTCGGATCGCGGTGAAGGGAAACACCTCGCAACCTGCCGTGCCGACATCTGTACAACAGCAACAACGACAATCTGAAGGAATCTGCTCCTATCTGTGGTATCCCGCCTATCGAGACCTGCCTCATCTTTCAAACTGACATTGGCCATTCCTCATATTGTCAAACACCTGTATCTGACTTTGCAATGGAAGAAAGCAAGCTGCTTGGACGCACCTCCTCCTCGGACGGTGATACGGATTCTTCTGGATTTGCTGACACCTTGGAGCGAGACTCTATCCGCAAGACCGCCATGTCACGTTGTGAGATGTTTCGCTGCTGTCTTGAGATCATCCTCATTCTTTGCCTTCTGGGGACTACTACTACGGTTTTCAGACAGAACGCTGTGCGACAAGAAACGACGGCTTGGCCGGCGGGGAGCGATTACAATCACTTTGTCCCACATGGTAGGCCTCAGTTCCTCACCTTGCAAATACCGCTGACCTGTAGAATAGATGTGAGCTCGCGAGGTATTCCCAGGCCGTCTGGACCTGATCAGTACGAGGTCACCGCCCATGCCTTCCACGACCAGAATGCCCTGAACGAGACTCTTGATTCTTGGCAAGGCCTCTCCCACGGTAAGCATCCATTGGAGCAGGCTTTTCACACCGACTAACGAGACTACCAGCCTTTGTCCGGGCCTCTCCATACGACGGTAGCGGGCCTCAGAAGCTGTTTTCAGGTGACTTATTCGAGATTGCCGCTTTCCATCAGATCCACTGTCTGGTAAGTCATCTCATGGATCTTTTCGTTCTTCGCACTTCTGACGCCCGAGTCACTAGACATCCATCCTGGAGGATTTTGGCCTCTTGGCTGCCGGCATTCCCAAGGAGGAGCTGCCCGGTTATCATAGCGGGGTCACACTGACGTGGGAGGAGCACAAGGCGCACTGCTTCAACTATGTCCGGCAGGCTCTAATGTGCTTTGCTGACTCCACCGCCGAAGGCCACATTGAGGGTGACACGCACCGAGTTGCTGATCATGGGGTAATGCATGTTTGCAATGATTTCGATGCTCTGCTGGCGTGGTCAAAGGAACCCGAGCGGGCATTGCCCAAGAGTTGGCGAGTGACAGATTAAGGATAATAAGAGACAGTTTGTAGCAGACATATTCGTAGTTGCAGCATAACTGACATACATTCTCTTATCTGGCTTACTTTGCGCCTTGTGATATGTTGATCTTACTGTGGAACAATGAGTCAATTACTGTGATGTAAGGGAAAATGGCGGAATGCAGACTATGGTGTATAAGGTTCTTGTTCAGTGGCCGTTTAGAGGTTAAGTTTGGCGCCCATTAGATGACAGACTCCAACGGCTCAGTGACCTCTCATTTCCCTGCTATGAGAGTACAACAGTCATAGACAGTCACAGTGAGGAATCTCATTTGTACAGCCAGGGAAAAGCTGTGTTGTACTAGTCTCAGTATAGCTACTATATCTGGTTGTACAATCCCTGGTCTCATCCCATGTGGGAGTGTCCATGGTCATGACCAGCCACACCATCCTTCGCCTTTCCCGGAAACAATTTCGAAAAGTGCCCACAGTCAGGGTACTGGATCTTTGCCCTGACCTCAATGTCATCCGGCTCATTGATCCTCGTCAGAACCTGAGTACAGTGTTGCGTGTGCGTCAAGACGTCTTCGCGGTGAACCATGCGATTCTCAGTCAACGCCTTGTGGAACCGAAGAATGTTGTATGCGCAGTGCGTTTTGTGAAGCCTGTTGGTAAGGTAGACGGGCTGGGTGTCAGAGCCGAACTGCTCCTCAGTCACGGACGCCGTCTTGTTCTGGTCGGTGTAGAACACCCACGGCCCGGCGTTGCGGAACTTGTCCGTCAGCTCACGGTCGAAGCACTCCTCCGGCACCCAGCAGAATGAGAGCACGTCAAAGTGGCAACCAAGTGCTTGGGCATCGCTAGACGAGTTGCCACAGGGGTTCTCTATAATACCCTGAGCGTTGGTGCGGGAAGGCGGGACGATGGACTGGAAGACCCAGGTGACGGAGAAGGCAAAGATGATGCTCAAGGCTAGACCGATGAGGAGCTTGGAGAGAACCTCGCGTTGATAACGGCGCTGAAGCTCTGGTGAGGGAAAAAGAGGAGTTCCCTTTTCTTGCTCATCCTCGGTGAGCATGGGGCGGGTGCTATCCTCACTATCGTAAGACATGGTGTCGTTGAAATGATGAGAATGAAGTCAGACGCGTAAGTGATGTTTTTGAAAATCCTTTGCAAAGGCGATGTGAGAACAAGGCTTTGAGACTGTCTACTACGGTGATACGATGAGGCGACCTTTGGCATTTGGGTCCGGGGGCATTGCATCTACCCGACTTGACTCTACTTGGCCGTGAGACTCATTTGCTGAATTTCTATGACATCTCGTGACTCTTGCACGGCTCGGAAGATGAAAAAGTCATCTACCACCGTACTTCATGACATGGGGTTTTAGACTTTGATTACGTCTCCCGACGAAGAAAATCAGCGCATAAATGCGCCGTATACAAGATTCATAGTCTATAGTTGAGAAAATTCCGCCGTTCCGCCGTTGAAGTAGATTATGACCTTGGAGGAATCCGATCGGCGATGGACTCCTGTCCGAGGACCGAAGTCGAGTGCCGAACAGAGTCAACGCGACGATGTCAAGATCAACACAGCTCTGCCATTGAGTCTGTGTTGGTCCCATGTTTTGACTTTTGACAGTCAAAGCTTCAACGGGAGGGAGTCGTCATTTGCACCCGAACTGCTCCACCCCGGACTGAGTCGCCAGCCAGAGACGGAAAAGCCCAACGACATCTGCGGGCGTTCGGCGAACCCGTTTTCGAAATAGTGTCTACTTTGAGTTGTTTCTCTAGCAATTTGCATTTGAACGGCATTCTTTTGCCGGTATTGTGGTCAAGGATTGGATGATCTTTCTTGCCATTGGATGACACATTAGTCGTAGGGCACCCCGTGGCCGTTGCTGTCGGGGTTCATTAATCCCCAAGACCAGAACCTCCCTTTGATGAGCCAGATGGCCACCCGTAACTCCCCTGTTCTCCAACACAAACTTGAGTCACTATGAACTTCTTCAAGGCAGACAAGTCGACGCAGTATGTGTCTGTAGAAGAGAGCTCCGAGTGTAGTGAAGACCAGCTACCTTTGCGAAGGAGGCCCCCCTCCCCTATTGTATCGGTTTCTAGATCTTACTACTTTATTTCTTTGATATTATTTGCCATTTTCCCTGTACTGGTCATTGCCTTGTTTGTGCTTCACACTCGGCTAGCAGGCGCTCGCATCGACAGCGGCTTTCTCAAAGGCTTTCCTACCGAATTAGGTATGCCAGGCAGTGTTCTCAAGCGAAAGGAAGACAACGAGCTCACATGAAAATTTACATAGAACCAATCAAAGGTGTACTTGCCAGTGAAACAGTACGTTTCACTGGCGGCCTTCACTTCTACAAGAATGGGACCTTGTATCGTGAGGTGATTGAAGGACAGCCTCAATACGTCGGGCCTCCATCGCCAGAGATTGATGCAGCATGGAAGAGTCTGCTAAAAGGTTACTGACCAAGGGAGTCCAACCTCGAATCACACTGACCAAGTTCAGGCCAATACATGAACCTTGTTGGGAGCGAAGCATCCAGCATGGTTGGGCGCACGTGGAAAGACAGCCATGGGAACTATGAAGTGGCGTAAGTTTCGCGTTCTTACGAGTAGACTTTTCAGCAACGAACTAAGACTTTTCTAGTCTAGATGTGATGCATACCCTCCATTGCGTGGTAAAGTACCTCAGGCCCGTGATATGTCTGCCGTGATCACTAACACGTCGAAGAACAAAGTGAGGATGGCTCTGGATCCAGATTACTACAAGGAGGAGGAAAGCCCTAGAATTCATAGGATGCACGTCGGTAAGCCATGCTTCTGTCCTGACCTTCAAAACTAGTGCGGCTAATTGCAGCGCTAGACCACTGCCTTGACTATCTTAGGCAGACTGTTCAATGCCACGGTGACCTGACTCCCATGGTTTTTAGCTGGTCAGATGATGCTGGCAGGGTTGTGGCCGATTGGAAAGAACCTCATACATGCCGCAATTTTAACCGTGTTCGCAGTTGGGCTGAAGACCACTTTCGGCCATGAACCGCGTAATGTACACATGTTACTCAACCCATTCATACGGTTTAACCCATAGCAAACTTGATCTTGCAGAATGGAATAGTACTCGGGTTTAAGTTTGTAGTTTTTACCAAACTCTTATCTTGCTTCTCTGTACTCTTACTATCATCGCTATCCTTGCCGTCTTTGTGTTAATACTGAATGGTATATGCTATTTGTATTTCTCAAGTAAATGCTTATATTATTTCATTCACAGCTCTTAACATGGGGACGTCTCGTCTATTAATTTGTCTTAAATACAATCCACGTTTCAAGCACACGATGGGGTTAATCTTAAAGGCCAGATGAGGTACAGTATAGGCAAGACACGATAAGATCAAGTATAACCATAATAGGCTGAAAATAGCTGGTTTGGAGATCTGCCATGGCGACAAGTCACATAAACCTATCAAATTGACAGAGAGCTGACATCTATTATGCTACCTTGTTCATCCACATGCAGGTACGCAACAGCCGTCTCCACCCATGCGCATTCCAAGTCTGATGAGGTGTTCGCAAAGGTTTCACTCTCCTTGACCTCTTTCTGTCATCTGTGTGGTCATGACTGACTTGAGATTTTGACTTTCGCTCTCAACAACCCCTTTCAGATGCCGTGCTGCATCCTTCGAGTATTCTGCCCAACGAACTTCGTTTTTTTGCTCGACTGAAAATTCCATGTAGCATCTTAACTCTTGAAGAAGGGCGTCCGGCGGGACTAGTTGGGTCTGTAGGACACTCCACACTGGAAGAACCTTAATCTCCACTCTAGCCCATCGTGTTCTCCTCTACCCCAGACTTACCCAGGCAGGCACTGGCTCGCAAGCTCTGGGAGAACATCGCTCAGTTTAAGCACGAAAATACACAGCGTTTCGCGATTCGGGCGAATTATAAAATATTCCGACCAAGAGGAAATGAGCGACGAACATCTCCAGGAGGTGAACGATCCCCATAGATCCCCCTGGTCGTCCGTAACACGAAGGCTCTACCTGAATAATTGTGAGGCTCGGGTGGAAATCTTGAAAGAAATCAAACGCATGACATATCTCGACGGAGACACCACCAGTTCCTTATCCGACGACCTCCATACGCCTTACCTTTGGGCGGCTTGCATGAGTACCGACTTATCCGAGCTTGAGAACTTCAGGGATACCCTGAAAGAGTCGTCCATGGAAGATGCTGGCCCGTCTCTGATGCAAATCAGCGCAGCGGTCCAACAACTTATTGCATTCTGTAAGTCCTATATCTCAGACTATTGAGTGCCATTCATCGCGCTCATAAATCGAACTAAAGACAAGACTCCCGGCCCTGATGAGGTGAACTCCGCTGCGCCGTCTCCAAGTGCCAAGTCTCCACGAAGAGAAACGGCAACGCGCAGTTCAGGAAGCACTACCATGAAGAGCAGCAATAGCCCACGACCGCTCTTATCACCTGTGCAGAATTCTCCTGGGAAGGCAGGCTCCGGAGGCCGACAGCAGTCTGCGCAATCTAGTTTACCAAGTTCGTCGGGCAATCAGGAGAAGTACAGGAATGAACGAGCGGTCCATATGGTGAGCCAGGCAACATTCTCTCAATTCGGTGAGTAGTAAGCTAATTGTCGATAGGCAAAGCAGCGGGACAATGGGACATGCCCTTTGCTGGGCACCAGATATTGTGAAGCTGCTCAGATCTACCCTTTTGCCTCCATCGAGAAGAAGGGCATGGTCGTGACGAGCGTGCACGCTCTAATAAAAGTTTTCGGACGGGGGACAGCTCAAAGATTCACTGATGCTCCCAGAATGGTCGACCTGGACTCTTGCGCCAATCTGATCTGCCTGGACCGTATTCCGCATCGAATGTTTGACGACGGTCGGCTAGCACTGCAGCCAATTGATAGAGGCACCCGCCCGAGCAGCGACCACTTCATTCGCTTGCGCGTGCATTTGCTGCAGAGGCAACACGAACCACGCGCATGGAGGAGCGATCTGGCGCAAGATCCCTATGAATTGCTGAGGGATTTCCAGCTCGTCGACGACGAGCCTCAAGAAATTCGCCTCGTTTCTTCAATGACTCAGCGCGAAATTAGTGATGGCCACGAGTTCGATATCACTGCAAAGACGCAAAAAGATCTTCCAAATTGGAACCTCTTGGATCTCAGGTACCGCATTAGTCTGATGAACCATTTGATCAGAGTTGCCGGTGTTTCGGATGAGGATATTGATGAATCCGATGAAGACGTATCTGATGAGGAGCTCGAAGATATTGATGTGATTGAAGGTGCCATCAGCAAACGGGAGGAAATCGCGGAACAGAGGTCGAAAGAAGTGGATGAGGATAATGCTGCCTGAGTATCAATACCCATGTACTTAGGCTTATGGGGCTTTTGACAGACACTCGCAGTGTAATTTTATGACCACCGAGCAATACGATCGTGCCGAAACGTATTGGCCGTCCTATTTCCTGTTCTAGCGCTTCCGTCCATCGTGTGCTGTCGTGATGTTTAGGCAGATTTTGTGGGGCCAGCTGGCTTGGGAACAGGCAGCACCCACTAACGGCTACCAGGACAAGGATTGATTGTAGCCCATCGTCAAATACAAAAGCTTGTAAATTGAACCTCATTTTCTGTGAGCTTTCCGAGAAAACATTCATCAATTTGCACTTGCATCTGAAATATTCTCAAGCTACCATCTCTTTGATATTCCCGGTCTTCGAACTTTTTGACACCATCTTAGTCTTTTGAACCATGTCCGGAAAAAGCCCCCCTGTCAACTCTTCTCAACCACTTGCACAATTCTCACTCGGCATCTTCACCAAACTCCCACCCGAGCTTCAACTTGAAATCCTCTCTCACTGCCAGCAAAACGACCTCATCTGCATGTCCCTTGCATCACACTCTCTTCGCGCCATGATGCTTCCACTAATCCCAGCAAAACCCTCGCTACTCTCCTACGACCAAGTAAACCGCCCAGAAACGATCAAGTGCGAATGCGGTGACACTTCAGCAATCGGGGTTGTCCAGGACAATTACTGGCATAGGAGAAAACGCCACGTCTACAAGTACGCCGAGCCCCCGCGAAGATGCTCAAACTGGACGCCCTGTCGATCGTATGCCACCGACCACGCCATGTGCCGGCGGCAGTGGTGTAGGCACTGCTCGTGTACCACGTGCCCGCTATATGCACGGCTCCGCGAGTCCATGGGAGATTTGAGATACTGTGCCGAGTGCCAAAAGTTTACGAAGCGCCTTCGGACAAAGAAGTATAAGGGGAGATGTAAGTCTAAGGTCGAGCGACTTAGGTGTGAGTAGTTGATGGCTGACACGATCCAGGCTTGCATGGCCGCCCTCGGGTCCGACGGAATCCAGGTAATCACTGGACAGCCAAAAAGGGAGTGTCGTATGGATATCGCTGGTGGCGAAGATGGGGCACTTGCGGTGTCGATGCATGGGGATATCCAGACGGGAACAAAACAGCGGACATCAGCAGAAGGAGGAACGCGAGAGTTGTCTAGAGAGTCGTTGGCTCTTCAGTTAATCTGAATTTAGGTTCACCATCACAGGTGTAAACTCACTTGCGTTACCTATGGGGTCTCCTAGTAGTGCGTTATGCCTTGTACGGCAAGATTTCAAACCTCTGCACCATCCGGGGCTTGTATAGACTATTCCAGCATTTGCTTGTCACTAGTCATCGCCTTTTATAACACCAATACTACCACCATTAGCAGGAAATGCTTTTCCTAGCGAGCCCGACGTAGGTAACTGGGGTCAAGCTCCACTTACCGCGGCACCGTCCCCAGACCCACACGCTGCTGCCGACTGGCTGGCTACAACTTCTGCTGATTTTGACGCAAGAGGGGCTATCGATGAACAAGGACTTGCCCAGGCGAGATATTCAGCCGGTGCAGATCACTGCTTGGCCTACAAGGAAATATTGCGCGTAGAAGGTTGCTGGGACTATCCAGCATCGAAAACAAGCTTGCAAAACCTATTTAAAAAGACAGCTGCTGTGTCTTCGAAAAGCATAGCACAGCAAGGAGCTCAGAGTTTGGCCCATTACCTCCTCATTACGACATGCCAATAAGGTGATTACTCGAGCTCAAGTTTTCTCAAGCTCGGCACGCTCAGAGACTGCCGATTGGCTCGGCGCATGCAGGTTCGTTCATGTCGAGCGACCTATTTCAAACTCTCCATTTCATCCTTGTGGTCAATTGGAGAACTCTCCTAGTGCGACTAGTCTCTGAAGGGCCAAATAAAGGGGAAAAAAGACAATTTCTCCTCTGTAGTCATCACTATCATTTTCTGAAACCCTAGTGACTCGAAATTGTGCAGGGATCTGGGGTAACAAGCGCCATAACTAGGGCCAGGCCATGCACCCCGCGGCTGGCAACCCCTCACCGGGAAAGGACAGGCGCTGGTGCCGTCATAGTTCCGGCCCCGGATCACGGCTGGTATGCTTTGTAAATTCATAACTTACTACTTTTTCCTGTCAAGCAGCGATCTACATTTTTGAAATATTTTTTTTCGGTTTATGTTTTCCCCGTCACTGTCTTGTCGCTCGAAATCTACAATTCTCAATCATGGCGCCCCCTCAAGATGCCGAGCGTGTTCAACTGCCCGAGACCTGGAACCCCGAAAGTATATCCTTTCCGCTCCGACGAGACCTGCCTAGCATTCCGGGAGCCCCAAAAGGTGCTGCCTGGGTTTGGGGCGCTGAAGATAATGTGCCTGTCATTATTCCCTTTGCAGAAAAGTACGTAAGCTCACCAGCCGTCAGGTCGGCCGCCTCAACCTTCTCACGCCTACTCGCGTGCTGGCTGCATCAAAAGCAATCAAAAGTGGCGAGGTCATACCGGTAAAGTACGGAACTCTCGAATCCGACCAGCACAACTTTATCTCAACACGCTGGTAGCCTACCTCTCGATGTTCCAGGCCAGCCAGCCTTCAATCGAGAGCCCTTTGTCCACCACCTCAAGACTCTGATTCCAGGGTTATGTTACGATGACAACTACTACATGAATACCCAGAGTGGCACTCAATGGGACGGCTTCAGACATGTACGTACCACCCCCCTCGTGAGTGTGGCACCTCTTAAATGCTAATGCACACCAGTTTGCGCATTTGCCTTCCGGGACATTTTACAACAATGTAGGGCGTCCATATACCTCCTGCTCTATGAAACGTGATGGTATTAATCGAATACACCGTCAAAACAGACCAAGGGACAAGACATCGAGGGACCGGCCAGTAATCTGAAATGCTCAATTCACCACTGGGCTGAGCGTGGCATCGCTGGCCGTGGCGTGCTTTTGGATTTCTGCTCTTACGCGCACGCCAAAGGGTTGAAATTCGATCCATACGACACTTGCAGCATATTTTACCAGGACCTGCTCGAATGTGGTCGAGCGCAGGGCATAGATATTCGGCCCAAGGCGCAAGGAGGCGACATTGAGATTGGCGACATCCTCTTTATTCGAAGTGGGTGGGTCGAGGCTTATCACAGCAAAAACCCAGCCGAGCGCGCCCATCTGGGACTTAGGGGTCACAAAGAAATCAAGTTTGGCGGCCTGGCTCAAGAGGAGTCCATAATTGACTGGCTGCATGACTGCTACTTTGCTGCTGTTGCTGGGGACTCGCCCACGTTTGAAGCTTGGCCAACCAAGGCGGGTTAGTTGTGCTTTTCTTGCCCCATTCATCGAATCAAGGGAGTGTATGTGCTTGCGGCTGGGGATTTGCTGACTGAAAATGTTAGAATACCACCTTCACGAGTATATCCTGTCCCTTTGGGGGATGCCTTTGGGTGAGATGCTCAACCTAGAAACATTGGCTCGTCGATGTCGTGAAACGAACCAGTGGACATTCTTCTTCACGAGCGCTCCAGCAAACTGTCCACGTAAGCATCATATTCTGCCTCCATGAGCGAGCATCTTACTCACATAGCTTCAAGAGGGGGTTAGCAGTCATGTCAATGGCACTGCGATTTTGTAGTCATGCTCGCTATACGACTGGACTAGACTGAACATGTTTGCAGCCGAGGTGGCCAGTATAGACTGTTTTAGAGAGGAAGGAATTTCAAAGCCACCTTCAAATGTGTTGCATGATTTTCTGTAATCCGTTTTCTCTGTTTTGCGGCAATAAATAACGCCTTAGTGGAATATTGTATATGGCCGTTGGTAGAGCATTTTCCTCCCTTGATGTAGTCTTACAAGAGTACGCTCGTAACCAGCTCCTTGATGTCCACGTTTCCTATGTTATATATGATACCCTGTTCCATCGTATTCCCATTCAAGATGCACGAAGTTCGAGACACCTTTGCTGGTCATGAGCGAGAGAAACTCAGCAAGTCGAGAGTGTTTGCACAATCTTTTGCGCCTAGCGGTCAATGACTTACATATCCAACGATTTGTTCTATCTGACCTATTGTGTGACCGAGGCACGGCAACGTGGGATGGATCCGTTGCCGGCGGCCGCTCGCCAACTTGGCACAGGTGCCGAGGCGTCCAAGGCCACTCGGCTGTTTTTGGTCCCCTGCAGCTTCATCGTTTGATTAGTCGGTACACGTTCGGATATACGAACGGTTCATATCTATACCACTGAAGACGCATAATAAGTTCCAGTGCACTTCTTAGTCCTGGCGCATAGCTGTGGTCTGCTAACCAGTGTCTTTCTGATTCATATTAGTACTTGAGCCTCACGAAATGAGAATCGAGGGAAGAACATTTATCGTATCCGGCGGGTATGACAGGGCATTTCTCAGAGTTCTGAACTACGATTACTAACCTCTGGCACAGCGCATCCGGGCTGGGACAGGCCTGCGTAGAGCACATCGTCGAGAAAGGCGGGCATGTGGCTGTCTTGGACATATCTCAAGACGCCGGTGCCGTTCTTGTGGACAAGTTGGGCTCGCAAACGAGATTCTTCCTGTGCGATGTGACTTCAACCGAAACTGTTACAGAAGCAGTCAATGGTGCTGCGCAATGGAGTGCGTCAACCAAGATGCCGCTTGGAGGTGTCGTTGCCGCTGCTGGTGTAGGCGGGCCTGCCACTGTGAGTTGCCCTTCTCAACTGCAAGGAATGGAGTACTGACGCGACTTTTGACAGATCCTAGACAAACACGGTGCCCCTTTTGATCTCAACTTGGTCGATTGGGTGCTGAACGTCAACCTTCGTGGTACAATTGATCTAGTACGACAGTCGGTAGCCCAATTGGCCAAGGTTGAGCCAGTCGAACCTGATGGAGAGCGTGGAATCGTCATCATGGTTGCCTCATCAGCCGCTTTCGACGGTCAGAAGGGACAGGTGTCATACGCGGCCTCCAAGGGCGCAATCACGGCAATGACACTACCCATGACCCGGGACCTCGCCCGATTTGGTATTCGGGTTGCTACTATTGCACCTTCGCTTTTTGAAAGCGCCATGACATCTCGCATGAGTGGTAAAGTTCGGACAAGCTTGGAGTCTGCCATGGAGTTCCCCAAGCGGGCAGGACAGCCAGACGAATTCGCAGCAGTCGCCGTACACCTGATTGAGAATATTATGCTCAACGGGACTGTGATCAGACTCGATGGTGGTATGAGAATGCCGAGCAAGATGTAACTTGATAGCCAGTATGCACGTTGTTCGCTTGTAGTATGCCGAGAAACTAATACAGTCACCTTGATAAACAGACATCATACAACCCGAAATGGATTCAGCTGGGGGGGCAGAATGGCATATGATGCGTAATTGAGAACAGCGCTTCGAATGGCAGAATAGCCTTGGGGGAAAGGTGAAGCTATCTATCAAGGCAGACTCAACCAAATATAGCGCCTGACTTATCAGCTAGTATCCATGACTGCGATGCTTCAGGGAGGCTCTCAGCCAAGCTCCCCCCAAAAAGTAGCTGGGTCTTAGTGGGGATGATATCTTTCCTCCCAGGTGATCAGTGCGGCGAGCTAAGGTTCCTAATCCGACGTTTTCACTTAACAATAAGCCCGAGATTAATAAACACAAGAAGACAATTACGTCCAGTTTTCATGAATAAGGAAGCGTATCAGTTCTTTTCAGGCACTCTGCCAAATGTCATAACACGTAGTTCTCGCATTCCCTCCATGACTAGCCTGCTTTCTTATATTTGTTGGGGCGGCACTGGTGGAATACCTGACTACGAACTATGATTGGTCATAGAAATAATTCTTCGCCCTAATAGGCAATACCACTATCCTAGAAATTACACTAGTACTGAGAACACACATTGGATGTGGCTGTCGCTCGAACGCCGTTTCGTGGCGTACTCTGTTATATTTGAAATAATTACGCATTTGTCGGGATTCGCACATTAATCGACTTATGTCCGGCTGCGGTGGTTTGGCATCCAACCAGATGGTATAAGCTCGCCAAAATAGGAGCAATCCGTAGCAAGTGCTGAGTTTTGCGTGGTGCCGCGGTTCCCTCAGCCGCCCCGCTCAAATTCGGGCAAGGCCTCCGGCAGTGGGGGACTTGGGAACCGATTCTGCCCCTCTCGGCATCCAACCCACCGGCCGAGTCTGATCTCTGCCTTGAATAAAATGGGCCGAACCTCGGCAGGACAACGAATGATTGAGCTTACCAGGGATCGCGGCCATGGAGCGCTGCTGCCGAGCACGACGGGACGAAACCCCTCTCCAAAGCTGCTCTGGTTACTGGCAGATCAGGAACCCGGCTGCTTGCAGGTATGATTACCTTCTTGATGAAGCAGCCAGTCAGTCCGAAATTCTGAACCAATACACCCAGATACCACAACATTACAAGAAAGCCCTGGAGTATTGGCTTGCAAAGAAGCCCGAGGCCGGATGAAGTAGGCCATGGCCGAATCATGAGGTTCAACAGAGTCACACATCCAAGCGAATACTTGGTAATCAATTGGCAGCATTCTGCAGCGGTAGATTCCCCAAGCCGAGGCTTTGCACAAAAGTCCTTTTGCCTCTTCTGGCGTGCACAGGCAATTCCCAGTTGGCAACATCATGGGGCAGATGAATGGTTCCGTTGTCCACCTTACCTAACCGAGTTCTCACATATCCGCCAAGGGTATCTTTTTCCGTGCTTCCGTGTCTACCTACTATTTATTCATGCCGCCGATCTGCGCCGCTCCCGCATACTCCCTTCGGCAAGCCCTCCACATCCCTCGGTGTTGTCTGAATCTCACTCCATCCTCCAGCTTTAGAATTGCACTCGTCGCCTCGAAGCAAGCATGGTGTTTTCAACGTCATACCCGTCGCATGTCCAAAGGATACTCGATCTCAGGGAAACGCGACCAAAGCATCAGCCATACTCGGTCGCACTCCCAGGTACAAACCAACCCGGTCGCTCAAATGTGTACAGACATTGGCAATTTGTGGATGGAATGCTGGAAGGTATCGGCCCGGATATATTGACTGCTCACGACATGTTCGAGGCCACTGTGAAGAGCAATCCAAACTCAGACTATCTCGGCCGCCGACCATACGACCCCGTTCGGCGATGCCATCTTCCTTGGGAATGGCTGAGTTTCAAGACCGTCCAGCAACGCAGGAACAACATTGGAAAGGGCCTCGTAGAAATACACGAGCGGGCCGGTAAGATCGGAACACAGTTTGGTATAGGGCTTTGGTGCGAAAACCGACCTGAATGGCCAATCGTCGATCTCGCATGCATGTCGCAATCACTCTTCAGTGTCTCATTATACGATACGCTTGGCCCGGATGCATCAGAGTACATTATTCGTCACGCCGAGTTGACCTGTGTTGTTACTTCTGTCAGTCATGTTCCAGCACTGATCGCTCTGAAGCCGAACTTGCCTGGGCTCAAGTGTCTGGTGATACTGGACGATGTTCAGCCCCGCTCAGACAACCAAGACTCTCTGTCGCGAAACCGGCTGTTGGTATCTATTACAGAAGCACTCAAGCTGGACCTTCAAATTTACTCGCTGAAAGAAATTGAGCAATTGGGCGCAGCCTCTTCCAGGTCACTGCGGCCCCCACAGCCGGATGATATAGCCACCATCAACTACACCTCGGGAACTACCGGGGCGCCCAAAGGCGTCGTCTTGACACACAAGGGCTCGGTCGCAGCGACAGTTGGCTCTATCCTTGATGCGGGACTGCCGGGCAACGATGTCATGATCTCGTACTTACCATTGGCCCACGTCTATGGCCGACTTTTGGAACACCTCGGCGCTTTCAGTGGGGCCAAGATGGGATATTTCAGCGGCGACATTTCCAATCTTGTAGAGGGTCTGCAGTCCCTCCGGCCGACCATCTTCCCGTCAGTTCCAAGAATTTACAACCGATTCGGCGGTATCCTCAAGTCGGCTACACTCGAAGCTTCCGGGATCCGAGGGGCTGTGAGCAGGTACATTGTGGCAACCAAACTGGCGAACCTCGAAGACACAGAAGCTCCTACTAACAAGCACCCGCTTCACGATAGGATCTGGGGCCGGCAGATCATGGCCACACTGGGCCTCGACCGCGCACATACAATGATTACCGGTTCTGCGCCACTGGACCCAGCATTGCACAAGTTCTTGAGTGTCGTGAGTGGATCTAGCGTGATCCAGGGTTACGGTATGACCGAGACGTACGCTTGTGCGTTGGCACAAAATCGGGCTGATGCCAGCACGGGACACTGCGGAGGTCTCGTACCGTCGACAGAGGCCTGCTTGCTCTCCGTGCCTGAAATGGGTTACACCATCGAAGACGCCCCGTGTCCACGTGGTGAACTGTTGCTGAGGGGGCCCAACTTATTCAAAGAGTATCTGAAGAACCCGGAGCAAACGGCCGAGAGCTTCACCGAAGACGGTTGGTTCCGCACGGGCGATATCGCATCAATCGACGACATGGGTCGCTTCACCATTGTCGACCGTCGCAAGAACCTTCTCAAGCTCGCTCAGGGCGAGTACGTATCGCCAGAGCGTCTCGAGGGCATCTATCTATCTGGCTGCAGATACATCGCCCAGGCCTTTGTCCATGGTGACAGTCTGCAGGCATTCACCGTCGGCATGTTTGGTGTAGACCCTGAGCTCTTTGCGCCTTTTGCATCCCAAGTCCTCGGCCGTGTAGTTTCATCGTCGGACTTGCCAGCCATCAGAGAAGCGTGTGGGGATGCTGCAGTGCGTGCTCGGGTATTCCAGGATCTCGAGGCGGTGGGCAAGGCGAACAAGTTTGCGAGTTACGAGCGTGTCAAGAACTTTGACCTCTCCATCGACCCGTTCTCGGTAGGCAACGAAACCCTTACACCGACTCTCAAACTTCAGCGGAAGAAAGTCGGAGACTTGTATCGAGACCGGCTCTCGGGATTGTATGCTCAAGTCTTGGAGGGTCGCGAGGACCACATCACAGCTCAACCTGTTTCCAAGCTGTGAGGTAGAATCAAACATGTTGCGTGTACTATCGTGTACCAGAGACACCTGGAGATGGGACACTTGAAATGATGATAGGACAACGAGATGGAGTTTCTCAATGTTCTCAAATCTCACAGTCGAGGCATCGTTTCTCTAGACAATATAGCTATCACTAGAACGAGCATTGCTCATCATTCAGGCCACGTACCGAGGCGAAAGACATATTAATGACAGTGTCTAGAATGTTTTTCTACAAATTTGTCAGACCCCATTGCTTATAAAAGTCCATCTCCTCCTCGGAGAAGGGAGTTGAGTCAATATTGAACAAAGTAGAGGGCAGAAAAAAATCGTGATCAATGTTTGCATCCCCCAAGAGCGCATCTCCTTCGCTATTACAGGGTTTTTGGCCATGAACTGCATCTTGATAGTCCCTGGATGCCGGTTGCGTAGACACTGGAGTGACCACGTCATAGGCGCTTGTTTCGCGAGCAGCATCCTGCGGCTCACTGGCTTGCAGATGACCTACGGCTGCTGTTCCTGCATGACTACAACTTCCCCTACGAGATGTTCTTCTGCTTTGAGCCGAGGGAAGAGGCTCAGCCGTCTTCATAATCTGGAGAAAGAAACGATACTGTATCTCGGCGGAACAGTAAATCTTGCCGAGATGGGAAAGAACAAGCATGTGGAGGTTCACATTGTGCAACGCGAGCTGGCGACCGATTCCCTCTGAACGGCACGCTTCATGAAGGTGTACCCCGATGGCGGAATTGATGCAGGTCGGGAGCGTGGGGGGTGAAACGTTGAGTAGGTCAGCGCGTACAAGGTCGTTGACGGCCTTTGTGATGGCCGAAGCGGCTGTGGTGTACCTATCCATCGCGAGCGATTGGATGTTGCTTGGCTCGAGAGGAGTTGTTGAGCTTTGCTTTGACGGGATGAGGTACGGTCGGTGAAGAGCAATTAAGACAGTTCCATGGTAAATCTTGAGGACACTGCGATGTAATAACAAGAGTGGTGTCTCCCCCGTCAGGTCCACGCAGACTTTGCTCTGAATTGCCTGGAGAGTTCTGTAATGTGATTCGAGAGCCGCGAGCGACGCGGGTGGTTGACCAGGCCGAAAGTTGAGTCGTAAGATTGTTTCCAGTTCAACAGCCAGCTTCAGCAACTCTATCCATAGAGGCACAAGAGTTTTGAACTCGCGGGGAATGAATGTTTCTCGCAGTGTAGCTGGAAGGCTGTCAATATCGTTCAGTACTGCGGCGGGTTCTGGCATTGGTAAGTCGCAATCTTCCGAGTTGATTCGGAGTGGCCTGCCAAAACCGAGACCGAGCCAGACCTCACGAGAGTAAAGACTCCACCAGATGCGTGCCCAAATATTACACTGTGATTGGGAAAATGGGGAAGATTGGACTCGTTCGCATGTTGGCTTTCGGTGAAAGCCGATGCTTTGTGCTAGACCGGTTGCCACTCCAATCCAGTGGCATGGCCCGTCCAGATCTTCTCGGTCCACGAGGTGATACGAGAGAAGTATGCAAGCCTGTATTATTGTCGGCTTGTCTACTTCGATTTGGCTGTCATACAGCGCCTTCACAAAACATTGTCAGCGATTGTGTTGTCGCTTGCTTGATCACATTGCCGCTTGTCTGGCGGCATGCTATGGGACGGATAGGGTCCATCCAGATGAAAAGCTCACCTTGGCATGCCGGTAGATATCCTCTTGGTATTCCTTTCTGGTCCTGAACTCAGTAGCTTGCCAATGCTCTGGCTTGACGAACTTGATAACGTGTTATGTTAGAATGTTGCCATATTGGTTATGGATAGGAATAGGGTAAAAGGGAGGTGGAAATTCCTACCGTAGCGGCAGCAAATAAGACGCTCCACAGCAGGAGGGGGCTGATGCTGCTTGGCTGGCTGGCGAATGCCGAAATGAAACGACCCGCATCGATGACAGGTAAATACGGATGAAGGTAACGGAAATAGCAGGAAATCATGTCATGAAGAGCCGCCGGTTCAGGCAGTGGGCGCGCCATCAGGGGAGATGTGATATGTGCCGGGGGAAAGTAACGACGCTGTCGCTGAATGATGTAAAAGTTGCCTGGCAAAGGACGAGAAGGATAGCAAACGTCGAAGAGCAAAGCCATGCCCGCAGACTCGCCTGTACGCCCAAGTACGTCAGTCTTGAGTGGGCTTGCCTAATAGCCAGAAGAGATAGACAACAAACCAATATAGTAGAGGACAGGAGCATTCGGGGTGCCATGTGCATAAGTTGGGTCATGTGCGGTACACAATAAGTTCTCAATACTGGTCGGGCGATACTGCCGCTTCGAAGATGGGCCCGGATCCGGTTCCGCATCGGGGCTGGAGTGTTCGTCTCCTCGGCCAGGCAGATGCTGTGAAGAGCTGGAGGGCGATGGCATGACCGGAGATATCGGAGGCGGCGCTGGCGGCGCCGGCTGCTGTGGGACATTAGGCGGGGCCCGGCTGCCGTATACGCGGCAGGTTACATTGCCATCCTCCGAGCAATTTGTGCAGGGTGGGCCCTGAGTGGCGAGATTGCAGCGGACCTTGCGCTGATGGCAGGCAACGCATGCGATAGCAGAGCGCTTCCTCTTGGTGCTGCCAGCCATTGCTGCAGCAGCCAGTGTAGACCTGGCGGTGGTGGACGTCTTCGGAGCCGAACTCATCTCATCATCTTGTCGTCAATCATGGGTTGGAAAGAGACAGGCAAGGGGGAAGCAGTGTGTTCGGCAAGCGGCAGCAGGCCGAGGTACATATGTAGTAGGGAGGTGCCGCGGATCTGGCCTTATGCAAGCTTTTCCCATCCAAGCTTGCCGCTTTACCCCAGATTCCTTCCCCGCACTCGTCCCCGCAATTTCCCGTCTCCGCAACTATGGAACCGCCGCGGCCCCATGCGATAACCACGCTAAGCCAAAAGTAGAGATTGGTTTGATTTCTAGCGGTTCGGTGTAATTGTCTACACACTATTCACAGTATGATCAGGTCCAGGAGCCGGTGGGAGACACCGAGTAGATGTTGCCTTTCACAATGGATCAACTTTGCCGTCTTCACTAGCCACCTCCGTCTCGACCCGAGCTGAACTGCCTGTGAGGGGTTGGCCCATGCCAAAGATGCCTCTCGCTATCCCCCATCGCCGCTATCTTGCCTTAATACTGAAAAGAGCTGGGCTGGGTTCAATGATAAGAAGGGTTCTCCAGCCAGGAACGAAGCGAATGGATCCCACTCGTCAAATCCCTTTTGCTTTTGATAATCACTCAACCAATCATCGTCTACCTTGTCCATGCCTAATCCTTTACCTTGCTTTCGTAACTGGCATGGCTCGATTCATTCCAAACGTTTTCAACTTCTGGGTTGTAGTGTTCGTTGCAATCGGCTCCATTGCCTGCTCCTATGGCCTCGCAATTATGGGGTAAGCTTTGATCCTCTTCGTTATCTGTAAACGGTTGTCGGTGTTGTCTTTGAAAATACCAAGTCGCTGACGGGGTGGAATGGTAGAGCCATCATAGGGCAGCCATCGTTCTATGTATCACTAAACCTGGCACCACCGGGCACCCCTGGCTATGAAACCACGAGTGCCTTGATCGGAGCCTTTAACGGTACGACATATGGCTCTTCTCCAAGACATCGCGCAAAGCTTTCGAACCAAAACAACTAATGATTATTCGGTGTCGCAGGCCTCGGTTCTGCAGGCGCTGTTCTTGGAGCAATCTTTAGTGCCTGGTCTGCAGATCGCTTTTCTCGCAAACACAGCATGCAGCTCGGATCTGCCATCATGAGCATCGGGTCTGGCCTCTGCGCTGGATCAATCAACACTACAATGTTCTTGATCGCGCGTTTCATTGCAGGATTTGGCCTCGGGATGCTGTTCAGTGTTCGTCCCCACCCCCACGCAACTACAGGTCCGAACTTTGCTAAGCCATAGTCTCAAACAGATCATCCCCATGTACCAGAGTGAGATTAGCACGCCAGAGACCCGCGGGTTCATGGTGTCGATACACGGTATAATGATTGGCGTGGGCTATTCGCTGAGCTCTTGGATCAATTTCGGCGTGTACTTCATCACGGCTTCCGGCTCTACATCGAGCTTTCCTTGGCGCTTCCCCATGGCTTTCCAGGCAGCACCCGTCGTAATCCTTCTTGCTGGGTCTTTTATGCTACCTTACTCTCCAAGATGGCTCATGCGAAAGGGGCGATTCGAAGAAGCTCATATCGTGTTGAAACGCTTGCATGCATCCAACGACGAGGCCTCCATCGAGCGCGTTGCCAAGGAATTTCACCAAATTCGACGGCAAGTCGAACAAGATCAAGAGAGCCAGGATGGCATCGTCTGGTACGAGCTTTTGCGGACTGCACCAAATCGCAAGAGGACCATCATCGCCATGATACTCATGTGGGGGGCCCAGCTCACCGGAACCCTTGTTCTAGCCAACTACGGCGTTCTCCTGTTCATCAGTCTTGGCCTGAAGGGGTACATGCCATTGCTCCTTCTCGGAATCTGGGTTACAGTTGGCTTCCTCGGTAACATCATTACGGCACTTTTCCTCGACCGCTTCGGCCGCCGCAAGTTTCTTCTCGTAGGAATCTCTGGCATCCTGGTCTCGCTCATCTGCGAGTGCGCCTTGCAGGCCAGATATCTCGGTACAGACAACATTGCAGGTCTGAATGCTGCCGTCTTTTTCATCTATCTCTTCATCGCATTCTTTGGGTGCTGCATAGATGCGACGCAGTTCGTGTATCTAACAGAGATCTTCCCGAACCGCATTCGCAGCCAGGGAAGCGCCTTTGGCATCGTCAACAGCGCTCTAGCATCGCTGGTCATGCTCATGGTCGCACCGATTGCCCTGGAGAAAATCACCTGGAGATTCTTCCTTGTGCTCATTGTACCTACAGCATGCTACCTATTGGTCATTTTTCTCTACTTCCCCGAGACTTCCAAGAAGTCTCTCGAAGATATTAACGAGGCCTTTGGCGAGAAAGTGGCTGTTCACTACACCCACGCTACCCGGGCTGAGGAAGAGGAGTACAGAAAGGCTGCCGACCATGAGATGGATTCCAACATCAATAGTACGCCAAAAGATGATGGCGTCGTACATCATGTGGAAAGGTCTTCGGGTTATGTGTAATGGTCCAAAGTTGGAGGACTACGATGGAACGACTATCGAAACTGGACATATGTTTGGAAGTGTGAATGATTGAGCACACTCGCAGAGTTTTTGACATGGACGCTTGCTTTCGGTTACACTGTTTCGAGCTGGATGCTTCGAGAATCTTTTTGACAGCTTTGAGATTATGTCCAGCTGATGTTTGAATGCATTGGAAATCCTAGATGGCATTTTGTCTACCGTTCTTACTTCCTCTGACAAAGTGTCATCTCAACGTGATGCTGTCTGATGACAATCGAGATGCTCACTGATGGTCAGGGAGTTGGCAAATATGTTGTATCCGAGGCAGAGATCCATATGGGGGAACAGCTATGGAGACGCTAGAGCAGACTCGGTTCCTCAAATCGGAGCATGGAACATGAGGCAAGTCGTATTAACCTTTAGAGGCATTGTCTATCAGAACCGGAAGCAGAGAATCCACGTCTGCCCAAGCACTTGCAAATAGTGGCTCGCTGACTGTTCCCACTTCTGGCTGGCTATTATTGGCCATGAGAAGCCCATCTGCTATTACAGGCCAGGTATCAAAAGAGCCCAAGAAGGGTGTGAGTGACTCAGTTTGGTCGGCGCATAGGGCATTGAGGGGTTCAGCTGAAGAAGGTGTCCTCCCAGCCCGGTGCTTCGAGCTCGGACCTCCAACCAGTGTCGTCGAGCTCTTACAGCTTTGCGATCCTTGTCGTGATGTAGAGCCAGAGTTCAACCTGAGCATGGGGATTTTGGTATTCATTCTGTCCAGCACCATCTCCAGGAACCGAACCGCGTAGTCTGCTGAGGCGTACATCTCTTGAAGCTCGCTCAAGACGTGAAAACATTGATAGAAACGGCCAATGCTGATATTCCTGACTTCCTCGTCTGGTGAACGAACCTCCAAGACGTGTACTAGTGCGGCTGATAAGAAGGCCGGTATGCTGCTGGTGGACAGATAACGAAGCTGGTCGCCCAGTTCCATTTCGAACGCGAGCTTGGTCATGGCAACGGCGGCTTCTGTGAGCTTCTCCCGCGAAGATGCTCTCGTCACGCCAAACTCGGGCCCAGGAGCAGAGCAGAAGACCTGAGGCCTGTGAAGGACACACATTGTGGTGAGGTACTTCATCTGAAGCTGGGATCGATGTAAACGGATGATGCGCTCGGCTTTGTCGTCCGTCGGAGTCGTGCCCGGCGCGTATCTAGATCGGGCGTCCCGTTCGTGAAACCACTCGGCGAGTTCAGCATCACATTTGTGAAGATCCTGGGCCTGTCTCTCGGATCTTTTGGGCATGACAATAACCTTGAAGAAGTATTCAGAACCCACTGCGTGGGGCCCGAGGACTGAGTACTGCGAATGGAGGATATGGCCAAGACAGACGCACAACTTGGTTAGGTCAACACATGCGGCAGCCATGGCTGTTCGTGCTGCTGGGTCTGCGCATGTCAGTCTTGACTCTCCAAGAAGGTCAAGAAGAGCATCCGAGGCTGGGCTTAAATCAAAGTCGTCCACGGTCAGCTCAGATACGTCAAAGTCGTGGTCACGGATCCGGGCAGGTCGCCTGATGCCGAGGGCTAGAAGACGATCTCGCATGACACAGGACCACCACATCCGCCGGCGAAGCCACTTCTCTCGCTCTGGAATGGGTAGATGTTTGGGATCCCTATGAAGACCCGCGACTTGCGCAAGCGAGAATGCGATACCCATCCAGTACCAGGTGTCTTTCTCATCTTCTGGACGGTCGTACCAGTAGGTCATCATCAGGAGGGACTGTATTAGCGCCAGGCGGTCCTGCTCGCAGTCAAGACCGTAAAGCAGACGAACACGCGCAAAGAAAACTTTTCGCGCGGCCTTCCTGCTACTGAAACCTCTGGCGCGGAGACACTCTTCATCAACAAAGGCAACGCTGGCAAACATGACAGCCTGGAAGAGGAGCAGGCTGATGCTGTTCGGCCGGGGCTCCAGAATACACCCCAGGAATTCGTGGAGGTCCAGTGCCGGCATGAAGGGATGGACTATTTCGGCGTACGTCCTGAGGAGCTCGTCGCGAAGATCACGGTCCGGGATCGTCAGAGCGTCTTTGTCGGTAAGGTATTCGATGTCGCGAGCGACAATGTGGGGTGGAAAGGGGCGGATGAACGAAGGAAGCTGAGCCGGAGCGCTTGCGACAAGTTGCCTGTCTACTCCGTTGACCGTCGGCAATGCTTGCCATGCCTCTGCGCTCTGCTGCTGCTCTGATTGATGAGTCTCATCAGATTGGTGATGTGAGTGATCGGATTGGTCTGAGAAGGCAACATGGTCAGCATTCATGAAACAAGTCAATGTCGCTCGGATTGAGGTTCGCCAACCTTCGAAGGACAGAGACACGAGGTAATTTTCGGTTTGGCTTTGAGGCGGTGAAAGAATGTCTGGCTGGGGCTCTGGTCGATCCCTGTGCTGTGATGACGGCTGACGAGAATGGGAACAATGGCAACGGGGAGGCGATGGAGGACTAGCTGAGGCAGCAGTAGTGCCGAGAGCAGGAGGAGTCGTGTTAGCGGCAGGAGCAGGAGGAGGAGGAGGGACAGCAGAGTTGGCGGTAGCGCGAGAAGCGGCAACAGTGATGGAATTCGCTGCATTTGGTCTCCGGCCGCGATTCGACTCGGTGACAACGCAATCGAGACGGTCCAGACGACAGTTGGTGCAGGGAATGCCCCCCTTGACAACGTCGCACCGCACCTTGCGGTTACGGCAAGATAGACAGGCTCGGGAAGCACGACGCTTGGAAGAATGGTCATTGGCACTTGAGTCGTCGTCCCATGATGGACGCTTTTGGCCGCGAGTATCATGACCGGCTGGGCCATCATCGGCGGTGGGACTTGGGGTTGGGTGCGTCATTGAAGCTCTTGTACGATCGCTATGGGAACAAAGTTGTACGAGGGAGGGCCAAACGCAGTCAGGATTTCAGATGAACGGCTATCTCGGTCAAAGCTCGCCCTATTAATACCGACCGGGTTGCCGGTGCGGGGTCCGGTGGGAAGGCGAAGAACCCGGGGCCAAGCGGGGGCCTCGACGTGGGGAAATGCGGGGAAAGCGGAAGGGTGTGTGAACCTGTCCCACATTCTCTCGGCTCCGAATTGCCTACCACGTAAAAGACGTGCTGGTATGTCCTTATATGATCATGGCAATCATCGCTCAACCTTGTATGCCCATCTTCAGTCCGTCCCCTCACCACAGATCCAAATCTAGAGGAGTAGTGTCTTATACAAGAATTCTGGACCCTTACAGTGGTCTTGCTGCTGGCCAATTTCCTCTCACAGCACGTATCTATATAACGGAGAACGATCGCCGAGATCAAGTAGCTCTTCTTATTGTGGAATCAAGAGTCAGTCTTCGCTCTGTTGAAACCGTCACTACAAGTTGCCACATACCTTGGGTGTAATGCGCTCTGACCTCTGCCTCTGAGATCATGTTCCTCTTCTTGTTTTCCCGATCGTATGCAAAGCGCAGGATCAGAGTGCAACAAATTGCCAGCGATAGGCAGGCCACCGAAACCCCATACCCCGTCCAGTAGTGAGGCGCTTCTTCAGTCATGTAAATATTGGACCCGATCATGCCACCCAGGTTGCCCATCATGACACTGATGGCAATACCCGTTGCCCGCTTCCACGTGGGCGACAGGTTGTTGGAGACCCAAGACACCAGAGAGATGACTGCTGGATACATGCCGGCTGGCAGCGCAAAGAGAAATGCATACGTCAGGCCTGGATATTTGGGGTGAGGAATGGTCAGAAGGCCAACGCAGCCGACAAGAGAGATGCTATAGGACAGAGCAACAAATTTCCATCGTCTCTGGTGACGGTCAGCGATCCAGGATACGAGAAGAGTTGCTAATGTGCCGACTGCATAAACAGGAATAGTCAGTAGCTGTGCTTGAGCTGAGCTGTATCCCAGTTGGTGGATGATGGTCGGCACCGTAAAGATGAATCCATAGATTGGCACCCTAGTATCCAACACGTCGTGTTAACAATGACTGATCCCAACGGCTCAGGACTGAGACTCACGTGTTACCCCAATAGATGAAGACGGTGAACCAGATCTTCCAGTCCGTGAAGGCGGCCTTGAGATACATCCACTTGAAGCCCTCTGATGTCTTTACCATACCCGCAGTCGTACCAGCGTCTTGCTCCAAGCGTGTCTTGATCAACGCTTTTTCCCCGGACGTAAGGAAGGACGCCGTCTCGGGCGAGTCTGGCAGCGTCCAGGGCAACGTCATGCCGACCACGGAGGTGAAGATACCTTCGACGACGAAGATCCATCGCCATCCCTCCAAGCCACCCAGACCATCCATCTTCTCCAGTGCAAATGCCAACAACCCGGAAAAGGCACCAGCTAGCGACGCAGCTGAGAAGAAGATTGAGAGACGCCACTGAAGTTCGAAGCGACAATACCACTCGCTGAGGAGATAGCTAGCCGCCGGAAAGAAGCCAGCTTCACACACGCCCAAGACGATTCGCGCGGCCATTAATGAGTGGTAGCCGGTGACGAAGCCTGTGCCGACCACCACCTACTTCTTGCATTAGAGAGAAGCGGAAGGGTCATTTGCTTGTGCAAGAACTTACTGAGCCCCATGAGACAACCAATATGGCCATCCAGATAGAAGGCCTCATAAGCTTTAGCACGAGATTGCTGGGTACTTCGAAAATAGTGTAAGGAATGAAAAAAAGCTGTAGATAATACGTGAGCAGACGAGCCTAAAGGAGAACAGGGACAATAGCAGGTGCACATGGGAGAACATAGACAAGGAAAATGAGCACTGATACCGTCAAAACAAGGTTGTACTGCTTGCTACTGAGGCCTAGATCTTGATTCATTCCTGCCACCTTTGCGTTGCCGATGTTGCCTCGGTCGAGGTAGGAGAGAATATAGAGCAGCGTCAACATGGGAAGCAGTCTCCAATCTATCTTGCGCAAGACCCTCTGAGTAGACTTATCGTTGTATCGGGGCAAATTGCTCTCATCTATACCAGTAAGGTCCTGAATGGAGCCAACACGACCTTCGAGATGCTCAGAAGTAATCTTATTGTCCATAACGGTATATTGCTGCTTCAACCTTCGGCAAAGATGGCTCTGAAGCCAGGTTTCTTATGATAAAGAACGAAGACAAGGTTTGCAGGGTTTGCAGAAAGTTTAAATAGATGTGCAAAAGAAATTGGTATTGAAAAGGTAGTAGCGCTACTTTTTTATAAAATCATTACCAGCAAATTCCTTTTCTCATAAAATCCCTACTACCAATAGGGTGTTAGACAATGCGAAAAGAATCCCCAGTATTTGCTCGCACGAGAGATCGCGCCACTTGGCCATCCAGGAAGCTCAAGGATGATAGTATGCACGATAGCCGAGAATAGCTTATCCGACTCTCCGAGCAAACGCGTCCAAGAACCAGTTTGCGAACAAGAATTTAAAAAGGTCGTTTACAAGGGAACGTCAGTTAGCCTCGGGTACAGCTAAACCACGACAAAAACTCCCCTCGGGGGTTGCGGTAATCTGCAGCCAAGCCCTCCAATGCTGCCAGTGAGGGGTTGTTAAAGGAACATGACAGCGTTTGTTCTGCGTGCAACATAATTGAAAATACTCATCAACGATAAAATTAGATCCAAGGAAACATCATGGATCTCCCGATTGAATCATACGACAAGCTTTTCATCAATGGCGAATATGTTGCCGCAAAGTCAACTAAAACATTGGAACTCAGAAACCCAACCGAGAACTCTCTTGTCACCAACAAGGTGCCTGTAGCAGGGGAGAAAGATGTCGATATTGCGGTGAGCTATGCTGAAGAGGCATTTAACGGCCCTTGGAGCCAGTTCTCTGCCTCTCAGAGGTCCGCCTGTCTACGAAAACTAGCTGATCTGTTGGAAACGAAAACGGAACCCATCCTCAAGCTTGACAGCCTTTCGGTTGGACACCCCGTATCTCTGACTCCTAAGAGAGAGAATGGCTACATAAAGGCGTGTCTACTATATTACGGTACGCAGACCCCCCTTTTCAATTATTTAAAATGAAATGTGACATTATGGCTGACCTGTCTGGTTTTCTCAGCTGGGTGGACCGACAAGCAACGTGGTGACTACTTCCCCGCTGACGATGGCTTCGTGAAGCTCGTCAGACATGAGCCTTTGGGGTGAGCAATTGTTCTTCTTGAACTTGATTCAGAGACGCAAGCTGCTGCTGACATCTCGGCCTCGTGAAAGCGTTTGCGCGGCAATTAATCCGTACAATGCCCCTGTTTCGACGTTCATCTTGAAGGCCGCGCCTTGCTTGGCCACCGGCAATGTCTTGATAGTGAAGCCTTCTGAGAAGTCTCCTCTTGGATCGTTGGCTATTGCTGCACTATTTGAAGAGGCGGGATTCCCGAAAGGAGTCGTGCAAGTACTTAGCGGTGACGGGTCCACTGGTGCCTTGCTAGCATCCCATATGCGTGTCAGAAAGGTTCGTTGAGAAGCTGATCGAGTTTCTGCATGACGAGATACTGACATTCGAGGATAGGTGAGCTTCACCGGCAGCATCGGCACTGGGCGAAAGATCCAAGAAATGGCGGCTCGAAGCAACCTCAAGAGAGTCACGTTAGAGCTTGGTATGTGGTCCAAGGACTTTGTGGCCGTTCACAGTATTCTTGATATGCTTCTGACTCGAAGGATAGGTGGAAAGAGCCCGGCGATCGTTTTTGATGACGCCAACATCGAAAATGCCTTGACATGGTGGGCTCATGCATTCTAATTCCAATCCAAGCTCTTACTAATCTTTCGTCAAAGGACAATCAACGGCATCTTGACAAGATCGGGCCAGGTCTGCGTTGCGGCGTCACGACTTTACGTACAGGACACAATTGCAGACGGCTTCATCAAAACCTACGTGGAGAAGATGAAAGCAGCTACCAGTGAGATGGGGGATCCACTGGACCCAAGCGTGTCAATGGGCCCCTTGGCCGACTCTTTGGCGTTCGAAAAGGTGAAGGCAATGATCGCCCGCGGTAGAGAGGAAGCCGAACTCGTAGTGGGTGGTGCGCAAGTCGGTGAAGATGGGTTCTTCATGCAGCCAACGGTCTTTCTGAACCCTAAACCGGACGCTCAGGTGCTGACGGAAGAGGTATTTGGACCCGTTGCTGTGGTGCAGACATTCAAGACAGAGGGAGAAGTGATCAAATTGGCCAACGATACTGAGTATGGTCTGATGGCTGGTGTCTTTACCAAAGACATCAACCGAGCGTTGAGAGTGTCTTCTCGGGTTGAGTCGGGCGTTGTTGGAATCAATTGCATAAGCGTGGTAAGCCATGGAGCTGTGATAAGTGTGCGGAGGGTTCAAAGTGATTGACGCTAACCAACCATGCAGATGAACCTTCAGGTTCCGTTCGGTGGTAAGAAGGGATCGGGCATCGGGCGCGAGTTTGGTGAATATGTAAGTCTTGCCGACGCAGAAAGAAATTCCGGAAACAAATGATTAATAATGGAGCTTCTTAGGCACTGCGGTGTTTCACCGAGCCCAAAACCGTTTTGATCAAGTAAGTCGTACCATGTTGAACAATTTGGGGGCGTATTTTTAACCAGCAGTAGCATGAATGCCTGAGGTACGATATGGCTCAAAGTAATTAGGATAAGCCGAGTTAATTACCCAGGCAATACAATGCGTATAGGAGCCCAGCAAGTTTAGATTGGTCTTCTGATGAGGGGTGAATAATTGGTATCTAGCAGACTATGTAGTTCACTTGAAGTTTCGATTTGCGTCCCGTTACAGACTCTGTAGCTTTGAAGGCTCTTCTGAATTTTGAGATGACCCAATATCGGTCACTGTGAAATACTCCTTCCAGAACAGACTGTGCAAAGCTATCGCGAGTCACAAAAAAGACATCAATGAATAAGAATTCTTTCCGAGACCGATCTCTCCGACCGACGACCTGGCAGACATCTACATTCGCAGAGAGATTGCCAGAGATGGCCGAGGGCCGAGCCGGTGGAGGGAGCAAGAGAAATTTGGGGCGCCTCAATGGTACATCCCCTGGAGTCGATTTCGATAGCCGCCGGGTAACTTTCAATGGCAATCAAGGGATTTTTCGAGGACGACTTCACCCATCCTAGAGAACAAAGCGAGGGGCATAGAAATCACGTCTACTGAAATTGAATCAGACAAAACAGTACTTCGACGTTTTATAATTAGCCCTTGTATTCACGTATTTCATTCGTATCTCTCATTATCAACTTGTCTGCTCATAAAGTCCTGAAACCACAAAAGTTATCAGTCCTCATCCGCCCTTCAGTTGGGAGGCAGTGTTGTATCGAATCCATCTAGCCCGACCTTCGAAAAATTGCCATGGCTCAACACAAACCGTTCAAGGTGGTAATTGTAGGCGGTAGCATTGCTGGTCTCACCCTCGCCAATATGCTCCAAGTCAACAACATCGACTTTGTCGTCCTGGAGAGGCACCCAAATATTGCGCCCCAAGTGGGAGCCAGCATCGGTCTTCTTCCCCATGGCAATAGAATACTTGACCAGCTGGGAGTTTTTGATACGCTGATGGCCTTGTCAACGCCTGTGGACACATTCACGTTTCGTAACGACTCTGGGCATCAGATAGCGGCATGCCGTGACGTGAACCACTCGTTCTGCCAAAGGTAAATATAACAGCTCTTCATTGCGCCATGCAAATGTATTTGACAGTGACTAAAAGATACCAGACACGGCTTCCCCATCGCGTTCTTGGATCGCCAAACTGTGCTGCAGGTCTTATATGACAACATCCGCGACAAATCCAAGATATTTACCAGCAAGCGGGTCACCAAGATTGAGCTCAGCGAACACGACAGCAGTGCTTTCACGGCCGACGGGCTTGAATACACTGGAGATATTGTGATCGGTGCCGATGGTATTCACAGCACCGTCAGACACGAGATGAAGAGGCTCTCCAGGAAGCTCAATCCAGGAGTGTTCTCTGAGTCTGAAGAACAAGGTGAGCACGCACTTTTACCTATCAATGAGAGACCACGCTCAGCAATGTGACAGAAGTGGCTTGTGACTACCAATGCATATTTGGCATTTCCAAATCGTGCCCTGGGGTCAATCCTGGTGATATGAACTCCGTTTTCCGTGACAAGGCCTCGTACCTCGTCATTGGAGGCTCCAAGGGCCGTACGTACTGGTTTCGCTTTCAAAAGTTCCATAAGAGACTTTACGGTTCTGAAGTTCCTCGATACACCGAGAGAGAGGTAGAAGAGGCGGTGGCGACCTTTTCAAATGAGTACATACTTCCTGGCGTCCAGATGTCGGAACTCATTCGGAACAAAGTTAGCGTATCCATGACGCCGCTTGCGGAGCATGTCTACAGTACATGGCATATTGGAAGAGCGACAACTGTCGGTGACTCGTGCCACAAGGTAAGTTCAAGACCTTGAGTAAACCTTGTACGAGCTTGTCAAACTGACATAAATCCCTAGTTCCACCCGATTGGCGGCCATGGAGGCAATGCCGCTATCGAAACAGCGGCGTGTCTCACGAATCTGCTTGTCGAGAATTTGAAGGCTTCGTCTACGGGGCGCTTGACCACCTACCAGCTGGATGAAATCTTCAATCGCGTGCAAACTACTCGCCATCGGCGGACTATTGACATTATGAAGTATTCCCACAACCAGCAGCTCACCGAAGCGCTGGATAGTGGGTTTAGAAGATTTACGGCTTTCTATCTTCTTCCACTTATCGATAAGGAAGACGTCACGTTTAACTTCTCGTGCCAAATCCCAGCGAGCGAGAAACTTAACATGCTTCCCATTCGGCGAGAAGAGAGGCTGGTTCCTTTCAAGGATGATCTTCTACGTGAGCCTAAGACACGAGGTCCTCTGAAGTGGCTATTCATCTTCCTTTACGTTTCTCTGGCCGTCACCGTCTACTACGGCATGTGGATTCTTCCCAAGAGTTGGGACTTGATACCACTCGTGGAGAAAGTCATAGCGACGGGAAAATTCGAGTGGGACGCCTCGTTCAAGCTTGTAACATCATACACCGGGGTATCTGCTCTCGACCAATACTTTGTTTTCCTGGCTGTCATTTTCATGCCAGGTCTTCGGGGGCAGAACTCGAGCTTCGGGATGATGCAGGTCTACTTTCTGGGCCTTATCGGTCAACCGATCTGCATATGGACGGTAGAATCGTTCCGAAAACGTAACGCCCTGACTTTGTTGGCTTTGTAAGTCCTCACTACATACGAGGCCACGAAGGCTTTACTAATTTTGTTACAGCCCGAGCCTTTGGTTTATCCTCTTTCAGTCAACGGGAATCGGCTTCTTCATGCCTCTTTACTACGCTGTGTACACGTGGATCTCGGATGTAGAGCCATACTGGTGGCCTTTGCGCAGGGCAGTGCCCATCCACTACGCCAAGGCTCTTCTCCCTTCCACTTTGCTTGGATACTTCCTGCCGACGGTGCTGATGTTCTTTCCATGGCATGAGGCTGAGACGGCCCAATACTGGGAGACCTTTTGGCAGCCGTCTCCATGTTACGTCCCTCTGATTACAATGCTCTTAGGCACGATCTACCGCTGGCAGAGACCTCTTGGCGAAGAAGAAAAACGATTACCACGCGCCAAAGACGAACCCACTGATGTCGCACCCCTCAAGCAGCTCTATCTTGTCACAGGCTCGCTTGGTGTCTTGTTGCACTGGTATGTGCTACTGACTATTCTGGGTAGTCCCGCTGTGTCCTTCGCTGCAGTGTTTTTCCCGACGTATTCCGTCAGCCCAATGCCCCTGGATCAAGCGTTTCTAAACATTTTTGTGGTCGACTTTTGGGGGTTCTTTATTGCTTCGTATGTATGGTGCGTCGGCGCCGTGTGGGACCTGAGGCGAGTTGGCCGGACCGACGTCAACGTTGTCAATGCATCTTTCATCGTTCTCGTTGCTCACTTGGGTCTCGGGCCAGGGGCAGCTATGTCAGCCGTTTGGTATTGGAGAGAGGAGTGTATGGCTATTTGTTTGTTCCCAACGGCTAGAAAATTGCACAGCGAGTAGTATGTATTCACAAGCATTTCTCATTGGTCAACTACCCGTAAATTCGATTAATCAAGTTGAAATCAACTATGCAGACGATCAACGATATCTCATCAAGTCCTAAATAGCGGCAGTACATCACCTTAGTGCTAGCAAATTACGTATTATTTCTTGGCATCCGTACCACTGTAGTCTCAACTCGTTCTAATATGCTTAATTAAGAAAGTCAGACAGGGATCAGCGTTAACGAGAACCGGAGATGGATGTCCTGTTGCTGTACAATACTTGACGGGATAGCTGGTGTGTAATCAGATAGGAGCTACAAGTAGACGATACTTCCGGATATGACGAAGAGGACCCATGACTAAAACGATTGGTTGATCACGATTGTGTCTACATAAGATAATCTACCTACATATTTGTGTAGACCAAATCAAAAAGCACCCTTTACTGCACTGTACTGAAAAGTCACACCGCGAGCAAATCATAATATAGTGCTCCGTCCATGCATCATGCCATTCAAAGCTTCGCAAACACCCCAGAACCCTTCTCAGCAGTTGAAGATGCTTTTGTCTGCACAGGATTGGCAGCGTCAGGTAGTCCCGACGGCTCATGGTGAATCTGATGGAAGATTGGATCCCAGACAAAACAAGCGCGTGTAGACGTCTCGCCGTTCAAGGGTTCAGGGTCAGGGGTCAGAAGAACCTTGTCAATTGAACACTCCAGAGCTGCACCTGATAGCGACTCATCTGTGATAATTCTGTTCAGGGCGTTGACAACGGTTGACATTGGGGTGATGCTGCTACTGTTAGTATCAAGGCTGCAGTCTTAATCTACAGCATTGGCACTCACCCTGATCCAGCGGCCGCCGCCATAGCTGCGGGCATCAGTGGGGTTGCGATTGACCCTGGACGAATGCAGTTGATGCGGATGTTTTCTTTCTGATAGGACTGTGAGCAGATGATTTACGTGAAATTATAAAAGCTTTACCTACCATCTGTAGAATTTGAGCGCTGGCGCGGACAAATTGCCAGACCTAATGGCCGCGTAAGTAGTGCGTCAAGGGGTCAAGATCTAGAGGTCGCTTACCGCTGCCTTGCTGCCACTGTACTCAGGAAATCCTCGATGGGGATAAAGACTAGCGGCGCTCGCAGTGGCGACAATCGTCCCGCCCGGCACCTTGTTCTTTCTCATGAAATGAATCGCCAGCTGGGTTCCGTAGTAAACCCCCTTCACGTTGATGTCTGTGCACTTAAGATTCGGCTTCGGAGGGATGCTGGATGACTTGTGAGATGGTATGAAATCGGAGAGAATCTGAGAAGCTTACACATCAGAATGTCGATGATTCAATATGTACAGTGAACTGGTGGAAGGGGTGTTAGCTCGCAACGTCTAGGTACCTAAGAAATATGGTTCGCTCAAGCCAACTTACCTTTGGTCAAAGATACCAGCATTGGTACACACCAGGTCGAGGCGGCCATATTTGTCCCAAGTTTTCTGGAAGCATCTCGCCTGGCTCTCGTACTCCGCGACATCAACCTGATGGAAGACGACGGCATCCCCAAGCTTTTTAATTAGATCCGAATTGGGCTTGATATCGAACATGGCAACTCGCCAGCCTTTCCTGACAAGATCCAGGGTAAAGGCTTCGCCTATGCCTGACTATGAGAAGTTATCAGTCACAGAAAAGAAGGCAAAGAAGGCCGGAAAACGACGTACACAGGCCCCAGTGATGATTGCGACGGGCTCCGATGTCATTGTGAGGTTTATATCCGGCATAGACAAGTATCAAGGGTTACAGACGAAAAGTGGTCTTAGAAGCCGCTTTTGAGGTGTTGATCAGGCTCTCTCAAGGACAGCTTGGTTGCTTCCAGCCTCATTGATCACAACTCCTTCTTTTAGGGACATGTAATGGTCCTTAAGTGGGAAAATGGCCGCAATCTTATGGAGGCAGAATGGGTTGCCGAGTTGCCAAATTGCTTTTTCCAGGGAGATCATAGATGGACCGGGGCTATTTGCCCCTCGGTCAGGTCAGATTGCCGCAGCGTCTTTCGCTATGACATGACCTTGACGGCGATTCGTTCTATCCCATCGGCTGCTGACATGCATCTTGTGGTCTTGGACTTGGTACTGATGGCTGGTAGGGCCCGTGGTTTTCACTCCAAACAGGTTGATATCTCGTCAGATGTGGAGAAAACAGGGACCTCAAAGACCTCAATTGGGCTTTCTGCATTCCATGGCAATGCGATATCATCTATTTGTGGTTGCAACCGGAACAGTTCTCTATTTCTTTTTCTATTTCTTTTCTTCTTGCGATCTTTGTAATGCACCTGAGAACCAAGAGAGGGAAGACACTACCTCAGCCGTGGGGTTTTCCAGGCTTACTTAAACAAATGCATATTACATGTAGTTCCCAGCACGAACAATCACTGCTTTCACTCATTACAACTGAAGTAGTGGCATGTGGTCTTGAAACCTGTGGCCACACTTGATACCACGGCTAAGACAACCCTGCCTCTGGCCTGGGCCGCTCAGAAGGGCAGTACTTTGAAGCTAGTAAATTTCCTTCAGACCAAAAAGCCGTTCTTTCGGGACCAATAGTCCTGGATCGACCGGCTTGCAAGCCTGGTTGATAGCCGAGGGAGGGTCGGGGCCCCGCATCAACTACCGGTGCAGCGAGTCCTCAATTCCTTGAGTCCGGTCATCCGGACACGGGGGCTTAATGAGCAACACAACAGAGGTTGAGTGCGTCAGTGTGAGATTCTCAGCCTAGCGTAATGAACTTCAACCTGAGGGTTGGTTTATCTCATGCATCACCGTAAATGATGGAAACAACAAATCACACTGAGGCATGGGGTCTATGTGGCTATCCTGGGCCTCCCTACCCGCAGTGGGAGACGGTGGCACAGAGTCAGATGCTCGTTGACGAGAGGTAAAACAAGGTAGATGGTCTTCGATACCAGAGATTAGAAGATTCCCGGATCGGTCAGCTCCTCTTTTGACTGATGCTCCGGTTCCTGGGCGTGATACCATTACATCGCGGAAAAGTGTAGCCGTGCGGGATGGGACAGGGATCATGATTCGAATCCACCAGCCAATTGGTTTCACCAAAGATCACACTCTCTACTTTGATATACACGAAGAATGTAATCTACCATCGTCTTAGATGAGGACTCATACGCTAAGTATTGATAGGCTAAACAGTTGGGTCACCTGAGACTGAGGAGGGCCAAAGCTGATAAGTTCAATGTGAATGTCACCTGGAAGCTCTATGCCTTATATACGTACCCTGAGATGCAATCAACGGTTGAGTACCAGAAGAACATGGTGGAATGGATTGACAGGAAGAATCCACTATGGGAGGTATATAAGAAATCAAAGCTGCTAGAGGGAATGCGCATCATTGAGATATCTGCTCATGAAGACTGCTTCTCACCACTAAGTCTCCCGCCGTACAAACCATCAAAGGATTTTACATCATAGTCTCCCGATCTGCTTGTGTTCAAGTCGTCCTCTTGCCATTCCTCATTGACCCTCTCCGCCTTCTTATTCCGCTCGTTCTTGAGCTTATAATTCAACTGCATCTACTAAGATGACAATCCCCTATGCATATCGCCCAGATTTGGCTTGAGCCAGAGTAATTTTGTGAAAATATCTCCTCGCTTGACGACTGTGGTCATGTTCAGGGCCTAACATCAAGGCCCAAGGTTCGTCTTGTTGCTAAGCACAGGCCATCTCTGGTGGACCACTACGCCAGACAAACTCCCTTAAAACCCATAACCACGGTTCCTAATATTTTCGTTCATCAAGTCGGCGAGAAAAAGAGCAATAGCACTGTTTGCTGTCAGCTCCAACTTTGATTATTCGCTGCCTTGCGATCCAAGAATGCACTCACGAGTGGGGTCCTATTCGGAGAAAATAGGGCCAAAAGTCTCGGTAGAACCTCAAAAAGCCTTCTCGCCGGATGACCTGTGCAAAACAGTCGAATGTGCCAGAGTACGTTGGCAGACCTTTGGAATAAGCAGATGAGGGCTGGTTTTGCAAGCGTGTCTTGACGAAGTCGAATGGTAAGCTAACGATCGCCCCGGCGAACCCTGCAAATGAAGAAGCAACTGCAGTTAGGTTTCGCTTCGATAATTGAGTGTGCGTTTGCAGCTGATGTTTGGTCTCAGAAAAGAAGGCCAGTTGACCAAAATTAGTTGACATAGCTCTGATGACGGTCGGCGATACGCCCTTCCAGAGGCTCAAAACCCCTTCCTGTCTGGCTATGCGTCGAAGAGCATTGAAGGCAGACGTATACCGCTGCCGCTGCTCCACGGGTAACATGCCGTCGGCTTGCATCCGAATTAGAGCTACCTCTGTTGGATTTCCGATGAAAGCCGCAACGGCTCCAGCACTTAGCCCCGCGAGAGCCCGCCCGCCAAAACCAAGCACGGTCCCTTGCTCTTTGGCTCGGTCTTGGAGCCTTTGCTCCAAAGTTGAGAACAGCCCAAGTCGCAAGGTCCCATACACCAACTGTCTTAGTAGTCCCGCGGACAGGCCCTGATAGAGGTTGAAGATACCGTTTTGGAGCGTGATGGCTTTTGCTACTGACCATGGCGATGATCTGCCGAGACTTTGTTCCATTAGTTGCATGCGGACCTTGATCGTATCAATAGGCTGCACGCATGTGGTGGCAATCATGCCTGATGCGCATCCTGTTGCAAATGGAGCGCATACATCTACCAGGCCCCTTGATCGGTGTCCCTTTTCACGGAACGGGGAGGCCATAGCTTCTATCAATATGATTTGTCGGCAAAGAGATGGGAGACTCAAGAATGATTTACACTTCTGCCCAACGCCGGAGAAATTGAGTTATTGTCGTGAAGACTTGAAAAGAACTTGTCAGTGATATCCTACGACTGCAAAGGAGTAATTGACTGGAAACGCCATGTGCTGCAACCAGGCTCATGGTTGCTCGCGCCGGTTACTCAAGAGTTTGCCTCGGCTTCAAATCGTTACCCCAATCACAGTCAGGTTTATACTGCGACAGGGCCTAAAACTCTCAGATCAGCCATTCGTCTGAGGTACACACTGCGCTCATGGCAGGCCAGATAAACCGCCATTATTCAAGTCGTCGGTGATCATTTATGCGATTGTCTACTTGCCGTATTTCAATGACTACAATTCATCTTTTTCTGTAGCTCAATGCATATTTCTCCATCTTTCTGAACGTCATCAAATCATCCAGTTTCGTGGGGAAATCTCTACCGCCGAACCATCATGTCACAAAGACTCTGTTTCCTACCGCGGTCTCTTCCGTCCTTGATGGCGATACGTCGAACAACGATTTCCCGCACATCTCCCTACGGCGTGTCTAGCTTCACCTCCCGAGGCATACACGCACGGGCTTCAGACTTTCTGCCGAGCAACTTGCCGGGGTGGAATGAGTCGCAGCGCGCTGTTCGTGAGGCCATAGCCAAGATTTGTCAGAAATACCCCGACGAGTATTGGTTAGAGAGAGACGACAATCACAAATTTCCCTGGGAGTTATACAATGACCTGGCGTCCAATGGGTGGCTCGGTATCTGCATGCCCGAACAATACGGAGGCTCGGCACTAGGGATCTCTGAAGCGGCCACAATGTTGCACACCATCTCTGAGTCCGGTGCGTGCATGAATGGCGCGTCGTCAGTCCATATGAACATTTTTGGTCTTGAGCCCGTCGTCAAGTTTGGGACTGAGGAGCAGAAGAAACGCTGGCTCTTGCCTCTTATTCAAGGCAAAGAACGCGCCTGTTTCGGGGTCACAGAGCCCAACACAGGCTTAGACACTCTGCGACTACAATCGGCGGCGACCCGAGATGGGGATTCATACGTGCTCAGAGGCTCAAAAATCTTTATTTCAACAGCACAGGTGGCTGAAAAGATCCTGATATTGGTCAGAACAACACCTCTGGACCAGGTCAAGAAACCAAGCGAAGGATTGTCCCTCTTTTACACCAATCTTGACCGCAAGGCCGTACAAATCACCGAGATCCCCAAGATGGGGCGTTCAGCAGTCGATACAAACGTCTTATTCTTCGAGGACTGGAAGGTGCCCGCCAACGATCGGATTGGAGAAGAGGGCGACGGCTTCAAGATGATTATGCACGGAATGAATGCCGAGAGAATCCTAGTCGGAGCTGAAGCTCTCGGGATCGGCTATGCGGCGCTGCGCCGCACATGCAACTACGTCAACGAGAGAATCGTTTTTGGCTCGCCGATCGGCAAGTATCAGGGTATTCAACATCCGCTGGCTGAGTGTTGGATGAACCTTGAGAGTGCGAGGCTGATGATTTACACTGCGGCCCGACTCTACGACGAGGGATACAATGACGGCGAGTACGCAAACGCAGCCAAGTACCTAGCTGCCGAAGCCGCCTTCAAAGCTGCCGAGAGGGCCGTCATGTCGCACGGCGGGATGGGTTACGCAAAGGAGTACCATGTAGAGCGCTATCTGAGAGAGTCGACTCTTTCACGTATTGCGCCCATCAGTGGAGAGATGATTAAGAATTACATTGGACAACGAGTTCTTGGGCTCCCAAAGAGTTACTAGGATTGTATCAACCGTGTAGGATTAGCTGGTTTTCCTTGAATATCAGCAATGATTTCGTCTCTGGTACGGTCTTCATCATCTTTAACATACGATGAAACTGGGTTGTTTGAGGCAACAGACTTTCCGCTTATACTAGCCGCCTCAGGATGCGGCTTCTTATTCTATCTCGCGAAACATCATAGGCCTTGCAGCATGATTATTGCGAAATCGATACCCTTATCCCAGCTGCAGCATGCCTGGCTTAGTGGTCAGCGACTAAGGCAGAGGAGGCGTAAGGTATTCTAGTCCCCGAGGCAAAGGGTAGCACATGGCCGAGGCCGCTGCCCACTACTAGCCCACTACTTGGCGTCGGTACAACTAGGCCAATCTTTGCAACCAGGACATGACTACGAATGAATGCGCACCGCTGTCTATATCTATAGTGATAAAGAGCGTTAAAAACTGAGAAGAAAGATTCCATTGGCAATATAATGTCAACGCTGATGATGAATAACATCTTGCCAATGCGGGTCTTACAAAACACCAGGATTTTGCAGCCTGGAATTCTTTACAGACGCGCAAATCAAACATTTCAGTTTGTTGGTGGTGTCATTCGTTATTCTACATCTCAATCAGACACTCCGACCACACACGATGGAGCTTTGAAGGGACTCAAGGTCTTGGACCTTTCACGGGTTTTGGCTGTAAGTCATTTTCACATCCTTGAACCATCGCAGGATGAAGCTTGGCTGAAATGAAACCGGTCTAGGCTCCTTTTTGCACCCAGATCTTGGCCGACTACGGTGCTGATGTGGTCAAGATCGAGGCAGTGGCGAAAGGAGTAAGTCATTTAGCACCCATGATGGGTCACTCAAAAGTTAACAGCTGCCTAGGACGATACGAGACATTGGATGATGCCAGGGGAGCCTGCCAAGTGGGATCCCGAAGCAGGCCCAATGTCAAACTACTTTTCATCCGTTAATCGGAACAAGAGATCTGTCACGCTCAATCTCAAAAGTCCGAAAGGAAAAGCCATCTTGGTTGACCTCGCCAGGAAGGCGGATGTGCTGTACGTCGTAACCAACCATTTGCAGTATTTGAGATTCTGTAGCTTATATGAGGGATCGCATAGTGTTGAAAACTTCAAGCCCGGGACAATGGACCGTCTTGGGCTGGGTTACGAACGACTCAAAAAGCTTAATCCGCGCCTTGTGTACGCGAGCCTTTCAGGTATGAGTTTCCAGCGTTCGCCATCATACTCGTCTCTTCCAACTTCAATTGACAGGAGTCGACAGGATACGGAACCTCGGGACCCTACGCCAACCGGGGCGGATACGATCCCATTGCTGGTGCCGAGGCCGGCCTTTTGCATGTTACGGGTGAACAGCATGGGCCTCCAGTCCGGCCAGGCCTTGGTCTGGTTGACATGGCTACCGGCTTGTACATGCATGGCGCAATATTGGCAGCACTGCATGCTCGGGAACGGACCGGGACGGGTCAGCGCGTGGATGGCTCACTGTTCGAAACACAGATTAGCCTACTGACCAATGTCGGCCTCTCGTGGCTGAACTTGGGCATCGAGGCAAAGCGCTGGGGATGTCAGCACCCCAGCATTGTACCCTATGATGCATTCAAAACCAAGGACCACCACCTGGTCTGTGGAGCAACGAACGATGCTCAATTCGCTAAGCTGTGCAAGTTGTTGGGGCTTGAGGTATTGATCAAGGACGAGCGCTTCGCGACCAATCCCAAACGCGTCGAGAATCGTAACTTGCTGAGACCTATATTCAATGCGGCATTTGAGAAAAAGTCAACAGCAGAGTGGATCGCCAAGTTTGAAGGCACGAATCTACCATTCGCTCCCATCAACAACATGGAAAGGACCTTTTCCCACCCTCAGGCCGAAGCTCGAGACATGATTACCAAGATGCCTCTCGCTTCGGCCATTACCGGTCAGATTCGCTTGATCGGACCAGCCGTCAAGTTTAGTGGGACACGGGGAACAATTAGGAGCGGCCCTCCCCGATTAGGACAACACACGGACGAGGTTCTCTCTGAGCTGGGGATAAATGAGTGTGAAGTATCTAAGTTGAAAGATGAGGGGGTTGTATAACTTCATATCTATAAACACACGGCAAAACAAAGAAGTCATCTATGTACGTAGCCTGTCAACGCGATTCCCCCGTAAGACAACACAAGTTCAACCTCTTCCCGACACCAACGGCGCCATCACAGCGTAGTTTTGCATGTGTCAGAATCTGGCCTCGGGACTTTCGAGATCCTTCAACCATGTAGACCAACTTTTCTGCCCGGACTTTGCCCATTTCAAGTTCATGAAGCCCCTGAATTAGTCCGCTCAACCCCCCTTCCCTCAAGCAGAAACGATGGGGTCGAATATGGCCCTACAAAGTCAGATATGAGAAAAAGATTGCATTGAGAGTTGTTAACACGTACCTGAGTAACCATGTTCTCTACTAGATGGAAGAAATGTTTGGCGAAACTGAAGTCCTCGCCGCTTGCTGGCATCTCGATTGTGCCAAACTTGAAGCGGTTGCCGAAGGCAGTGTACATGACAGTGGACACAGTATTGACATCCTCTCGTGGACTCTCGATAGGTAAGATGGATCCGTAGACGGGTCGTAGCTGTGGCGAGGTGGTCAAGGCATTGGCGCAGAGCGAGGCCGACTGCGCGACGCTGACCGTATCCCATGCGAACCGCAGCTGATTCTTCGTGAGCCGGCGAATCTGCTCCCCAGCGTCCGCGACGTGGTAATCAATGACGAAATCGGCGCCTAGGCTTTTGACATATTCAAAGTTGTGAGGTGAACAAGTTGAGATGACCGTATAGCCAGATCGGATAAGGAGTTAGCGCGAGCTAGCAAAGAAACTAGGGCGTTGGGAGGGCTAACAGCTTTGCAAATTGGACAGCCAGAGCTCCAGTAGCGGTCGCGCCGCCGTAGACTAGAACCTGGATGCCGTTTTTCTCGCGTTTATTGTCCGTTGCTGGTAGTTGCAGCTTCAGAGCTTTCTGGTACAGACCCTGCCCGACAGTGATGGATCCCAGCCCCAGAGTGGCTGCCTCTTCGAAACTCATTCGTGTGGGAATCCTCATTTGTAAATCCCCTACGACCGATGCAATCTGCGCAAAGACTCCATCATCCCGATTGACGAGGTTGGCGCCGTGACCACACCCGAAGACTCTGTCGCCGGGCTTCCACGGTTTGGTGACGGCATTTCCTACAGCCTCCACAACGCCAGCATAGTCGCAGCCCAGTATACAGCCATCGCGAGCTCTGCCCCCTCTGATATGCCTCCAGTCTGTTGGGTTCAGCGCAACGGCAACGGGTCTCACAAGTATACGGTTATCTTGGAGTTTCGGGACAGCACGTTGATCGTCAACGCGTGCAGCATCGCCGTCAATCACGACCGCCCTCATAGTACTGAGTTGGCGAAAGAGGTGTCCAGCCAGTGCTCCTGTCTGCCAGCCTCCACTAGATGCGTTTCTAGAGGGCAGCATAATACTTAGCTTTGCAGTATGGCAGGGTCAGATCGATTGGTTGTTGTCGACCGTCTGTCTAATGGAGCATGCCATATGGTGTTCCCAGAGATGTTAGTTGGGGTAAGTTGTGTCGGCCCTCGGCGACCTTGTTCGGCAATCAACCACTACCAATGTACCAGCCGCCAATATCATTACCGAAGAAGCATCAGTAATGTCAAGTTTATTCAAGGGAAGCCTTTTTCGGCTGACCTGGAGACAATTGAGAGACTGGATGATTCCGAGTAACTACTTGCTATGACTATGACTACCATTGCCCGCTCATTCAGTAGTCGTACGACCGGGAAATGCGCCACCCGCAGGCTCTATTCCTCACGGTCTCGGAACCAGTGCCGTATCGTTGAGGTAGGGCCTCGAGACGGCTTGCAGAACATTGGCCCCCTCGTTCCTACAGCCACGAAAATCGAGCTCATTGAACGCCTCGCTGAAACCGGACTTCGCGACATTGAGGCAACGTCTTTCGTCTCTCCCAAATGGGTTCCTCAACTCGCAGACGGAGCCGACGTTTTGAAGGGTCTGAACTCACAGACTCGTGGCATTCGACATCCGGTTTTGGCGCCAAATCTCAAGGGTCTTGAACGAGCATCTGCTGCTGGCGCAAAGGAAATCGTTGTCTTTGCTTCGGTGACCGAGGCCTTCAGCAGAGCCAACCAAGGCTGCACTGTCGCCGAAGCCCTTGACCAAGCAGAACAAGTGACAAAGAAAGCACTACAAATGGGCATCAAAGTACGAGGGTAGGTGAAACATGAAGACTCGTTGATCCGCAGGAAAAGCTGATTCCCTCGGTCTACAGCGTAACCTCTTGCATTTTTGAAGACCCATTCAGCGGCCCCACGCCTCCCGAGGCCGTCCTCCCCATCGTTCAACGATTCCTCGATATGGGCTGCTACGAGGTTGGTTTGGGTGACACTTTGGGTACAGGGACGCCCCGAGACACCCAGCTGCTGCTTGAGGCGTTGCTTCAGCGCGTGCCTGCTGAACAATTGGCTGGTCATTTTCATGATACCTACGGCCAGGGAATAGCCAACGTAGTTCGTGCCTATGAAATGGGCATTCGCACCTTCGACTCCAGCGTTTCTGGCCTGGGTGGATGCCCGTACGCCCCTGGGGCCAGAGGGAACGTGACGACCGAGGATGTGGTTTACACACTGGAGAAGATGGGTGTTAACACCGGTGTTGACCTCGACAAGCTAATCACCGTCGGCCAATGGATCTCAAAGCAACTTGGGGGGCCCTACGGAAGTAGAGTCGGCACCGCGATCGCTGCAAAGCGTGCATCAGCCCAAGCCAAGGATATCTCGAGGAACAGGATATCTTGGGAAGTGGTGGACGATCTTGGCGAGTATCGCGTTTCTCGTGCTGGCGCAGCTCTCAAAGTTACGTTGTCGAAGCCCGGGAACGGTAACGCGCTGACAAACGGGATGCTGGAAGGGCTTACGAAACTATTTCGAGGCCTTGCGAATGATCCATCGGTATATCATGTCGTCATCGAATCTGAGGGCAAATACTTTTGCACTGGAATGGACCTGAGTGGCGACACAGATACTTCCACCATATCTCCCGAGTCAAGCTACTACAACAAGGTACTCGCTCTGTACGACACAATCGATCATGCGCCACAGACAACTATCGCCTTGATAGACGGTCCATGCTTCGGAGGTGGTGTCGGTCTTGGCTTTGCCTGCGACGTTCGCCTTGCCTCTCCACGCGCTCGCTGGACGCTAAGTGAAATCAAGATTGGCGTCAGCCCGGCCATCATTTCGAAGTATCTGGTCCGTGAATGGGGTCCTTCTATGGCGCGGGAGGCCATGATTTCTGGTAGAGAGTTGAAACCAGAAGAGCTGTTCAGAACAGGGGCTCTACACTCAGTTACGGAAGACCTTGAATCGACGCTGGGCGAGTACCTGAAGCAGCTGGATAGATGTGCCCCGCGGTCAGCGGCTATCAACAAAGAGCTCACAAGACTGGGCTGGTACGATCCTGAGAGCGAAGAACAGGCGAGATTGATCAAAAACACCTTTGGCAACATGATGGCTCCAGGGTCGGAAGGAGAGCATGGCATCAGGAAATTTCAAGAGAAGGCAAAAGAATTCAGCTGGAGATCTTTCTGGAATGGTCGAAGCCCTCGAAGTGGCTTGGACTTCGTAAATCACTCTCCTCGAAAGTCGCCATAGCTTTAGATGGTATCAGTGCATCTTCACCTGCGAACAGCCTAGATTTGTCGGTATGATTTAAGTGATGCCCTTTAGTTAGTGGAAAAAAACGAGTATCCTCAAAGTTGGCCCTTACTATACTACAACTCTTCACGCTCAATAGGTAGCTTTCCTGTGTCGTATCATCCAGCTTAATATGCAAGTTCGATGTTGAACGAAGTTCGAGGTAATGCATTTGGGATGACAGGGGATAGATTGTACAATACTACAAGGATGAACTGTAGTGGGATTCGAACTCATACTGAAATCGTGGGCAACACTATTTATTCTTGCGAATCCGTTCAAGCAAGATACAGCAGATACATCATTTCACAAGCACAATACGTCCCATAGCTTTGCCCGCCTTGAGCAAATCCATCGCATCATTTGCCAAATTCCAGTCCATCTTCTGAACTAGGACCGAGCTCAGCTTGCCTTCCTTCGCCATCCGGATAACCTGTCGAAAGTGTTCCAGGTTTCCAGTAATGTTTGAGAAAATGGTCAAACCTTTGAAGATGTTGGCCACAAGCGAAAACTCAACTGAGCCTCCCATGACACCAACCTGAACCCATTTAGCACCCTTTGCGGTGAGGCCGTTGACTAGACTTGCCGTGGTGGAGCTATTGACGAAATCGATCACGGCGATCACAGGCCCATTGGTTGCCGCGAGGATGTCTTTAGTCGCCGAGGGCCCAGATATGTTGACCGTCTTGGTAGCCCCGGCGGCCGCGGCTGCGTTCAGCTTTTCATCTGTGATATCTGTGGCGATGACCGACTTGTGGCCAAACGCCTTCAGTACGGCTATAGCTGCGAGACCCAGACCTCCTGCTCCGATTAGGAGGACTGGCTCATCCGGCGGCAAGGGCAAAACCTTGCTCACCGCACTGAGAGTGGTGATTCCTGAGCATCCAAAAGTGCATGCCACGGCAGGATCAAGATTTCCCAAGTCGACCAAATATTTGGGATGCGGCACCACAATGTATTCGGCGAATCCTCCGTGTCGAAACGTGCCGAGGCCCCTCTGCGCACCGCATAGGTTATCCTCTCCCTGCATACAGCGTGTACAGGAACCACAGCCAAGCCAAGGGTACACGATTTGGCGTGAGCCAATCGAGATGGATGTTACGTCTGGCCCTAGACCAGTGACTTCACCGAGTATTTCATGGCCCAGAGCGACAGGCAGCTGGATGCCACGATCTTTGACATAGAAGCGCTTTCCTCCGCCCGCGTCGTAGAATCCTTCAGCAGTATGAAGATCAGAATGGCAGACGCCGGCGTGAGTGACCCTCAAGAGGACTTCACTCGCAGTCGGAGTTGGGATGGGTTGGCGAAGCTTTTGAAGGGGTTCGTTCCATTGGGTGAGTGCCCAGATGTCCATGAAGTCCGACATTGTAGCCACATGAATAGTATTTTGCTATAGAACGCATAGGCACCTGAGACCTTACTGCTTCGAATGATTAATTCGAAATGTAAAAATAATCGGGATGCTCTGGGGTCTTCTTCGTGTTCACCTTGCCGGAATGGTATGCGGAGAGCATGGGGCAAGAATGCCGAGCCCTCGGGCCTCGGGGCTGGCACCGGACCTGACTTTGGCGCCATCCTCTCGGATGAAAAAGTGAGAGTGACAACGTTGATTCTTGATGTTCTAGTAGAAAGACAGTAAACCAAGTCAAGACGCGGTCTCCCCAATAATCCAATCTTGTAGTCTTTGGGATAATCACCTTATCCTCATAATTCCACCTACACAATAATCAGTCATGGCACCGACTAGAAATGTTGACTATGATGCCGTTGTCATTGGTGCAGGATTCGGCGGCATCAGATCGCTTTGGGAGCTATTGCAGTGCGGTCTCACTGTCAAGTGCTTTGAGAGTGGATCTGATGTAGGAGGTGTTTGGTACTGGAACCGCTACCCTGGTGCTCGCACCGACAGCGAAGCATGGGTGTACACGATGAACTTTGATCCTGGTGCCAAAGAAGAATGGGACTATCGCACCCGTTATCCTGGCCAAGAAGAAGTTGGCCAATACCTGGGCCGTGTTGTCGGTTAGTTGTAATTCTGGGAAATGCAAGACTGCAATGCAAGACTGCGTCGCTGACTGTCGTCGATAGATCGCTTTGAATTGCGAAAGCATATGCAATTCAACACGAGAGTTCTTTCAGCACACTTTGACGATGAAAATGATGAGTGGACCGTTACAACGAGTGACGGCTCATCAACCACTTGCCGATTTTTTGTACCAGCAACCGGCCCGTTGTCAACCATCAAGGCCCCGCCCTTCCCAGGACTGAAATCATTCAAGGGCGAGTGGTACCAATCGGCTCGATGGCCCAAAGACAAGGTCACTTTTGCCGGCAAACGTATTGCTGTCATCGGAACGGGAGCCACGGGTGTTCAAATCATCCCGAAAATTGCTCCGGTCGCCAAGCAGCTCACTGTTTTCCAACGGACGCCAAACTTTGTTCTTCCCGGGAGAAATCATGACATCGATGAGAATCAGGCCACAGAAATCAAGCAACAATATGAGTCCGTGTGGGATCAAGCCAAAAACCACCCATTTGGACTGGCAATGACACCGTCGGGAAAAGGAGCTGGAGACTTCCAGAACTCCACTGAGGTCAGCCAGCTTCTTGATGGTGGCTGGGAGTGTGGCGGCTTTCATTTCCAATTCGAGACATTTGACGACGTCTTTACGAACAAAGACAGCAATGAAATTGCCTCGGAATACCTCCGTCGAAAGATTCGCGCTGTTGTCCGAGATCCAGAGACTGCGGAACTTCTCTGTCCCAAGTACCCCTTCCTCACCAAGCGTCCCCCGTGTGGGCACTTCTATTACGAAACTTTCAACAGAGCCAACGTCCAGCTGGTCGACATCAGCTCCGATAGCATTGATCTTTATGAGAACGGTGTCGTCACGGGGTCCGGGGAGTATGAGTTTGACATGGTCATCTTTGCTCTAGGCTTTGACGCCGGCACTGGGGCTCTCAGCGAGATAGATGTCAAAGGGCCTCAAGGAAGGTCGCTCAGGGAATGCTGGACATCCAAGGTTGATACCTTCGCTGGTACACTGATCCCCGGGTTCCCCAATATGTTCTCGGTGTGTGGACCCCACGTGCCTTTCGGGAATATGCCAGTGGTGGTGGATATTCAGTTAGGATGGATCGGGAAGACCATTCGTTTCATGCGACAGAATAGCTTCTCAAAGATCGACGTCAAGAAGGAGGCGGCGGATGCGTGGAATGCACATCTCAGGGAGGTTTTCTCCGGTTTGCTCACTTCGAAGGACTCCGAGACACACGGTGCCTGGTTTGTCGGGGCAAATATTCCTGACAAACCCACGGATATTCTATTCTACTTTGGTGGTGTTCCGGCGTGGTCGTCTTGGTTGCAAAGCGAAGTGAAGTCTTTATGGGGTAACATGAAGTTTTCTCCCCGTCGAGCATCCGAGAGGGCCAGTCGAGGGGGCGGCAAACTTGTGCCTTCATTGTAAAAGGGAAACGTGATAATGCATTAGGAAGCATTGAAGATTTCTTGTAGAACAGCTTTGCAGCGATTGTCTGCTTCAATCAATTTGGTTCCTCGTTCATGCCAACTTTGGTCAATATCACATACGCTGCGTTAGAGAGCCCCATCTCCTCCGTACGACAGTTCGATATCAGCTCGACTAAGGTAGTGGCTCACGACTACTCTTTCAGCCTAGCAGATTCATTTTTGCAACATTTTCTATCAAACGTTGTGTTTGACTGTGTGAATCCTATCCAAACTACATCACAAACCTATCGGGCCCAGTAAGAGCGACAGACTAATGGCGCCATACCATTTCTGACCATTTGGAGAATTTCCAATAGTTACCGAGGATTCTTGGCTTAAAGAGGTGTCAAGTTTTGTCAGTAAAGATATGTGATAAGCTCGGGGAATCCCTCACCTGAATGCGCCCGATCCCTCGGCTACTTGATCGAGCCAACGGGACCGGGCGGTAAGTGGGCAGGCTTTTGGCGTCAAGCAGACCATCTCAATCGTTGCCAGATTGCTAGAATATTCAGCTGTTATGCTTCCATTTATTTGCACAGGCAAGAAGCTCAGTCGCGTGAAAACACTGAAGTAGGACTCTTTTGTTAGCCAGCCGCCTACAAAGCTCCCTAGCACTGCATGCGTACCAGACTTAAGACTACCATTTACAAACAACACTCCGCACTTTCAAATCAACATGACATCTTCACCTCCTCAGAGCAACGGAACCGGTCAGTTAAAAAGACTAGATGTTCTCATCATTGGTGCTGGCTTCGGCGGATGCTACAGCCTCTATAAACTTCGTAAGCTTGGGCTCAATGTCCATGTGTACGAGGCGGGCTCAGCATTGGGGGGTGTCTGGTACTGGAACACCTACCCCGGAGCCCGCGTCGACTCGGAAATGCCGTTCTACCAGTTCTCCATTCCTGAGGTTTGGCGCAAGTGGAACTGGTCTGAGAGGTTCCCAAGCGGAGAAGAGCTGAGGGCCTACTTCAAACACGTCGATAAGACACTGGATCTGTCTAAAGATATCACCTACAAAGCTGCTGTCACTCATGCAAGCTACAACGAGGCCTCCGGGGAATGGACGGTGACGACTGAGAACGGCCACAAGGCCGTCTGCAAGTATCTCGTCTGTGCTACTGGCAGTTGTTTCAAGCCGCATTACCCCAATTTCCGAAATCTAGACGACTACAAAGGACAACTCATCCATTCAACCCGGTGGCCAGCTGATGCCAAAGTCGTGGGCAAACGAGTGGCCATCATTGGCTCAGGCGCAACGGCTGTGCAGTGCACTCAAGAGATCTCAAAGGTGGCAGAGCATCTGACAGTCTACATTCGCACCGCCAGTATCTCACTCCCCATGGTTCAGCGTCCCTTGAGTAACCTTGAGCAGGCAATAGGCAAATCCACCTACCGGAGGATGTTTGAACATTGCCGGAATAGCCATTCAGGTCTCGGATACGATATACAGCCCGGGTCCGTGCTTGAATTGAGTGATGCAGAACGGGAAGAGCTTTGGGAAGAGCTTTGGGATCGTGGCGGTTTCAACTTCAATCAGGCGAATTACCGAGACTTTCTCGTCGACGAGAAGCCCAACAGACTCATGTACGACTTTTGGGCAAAGAAGACCCGCCCGAGAGTCAAGAATCCCGCCAAGGCCGCATTCCTTGTACCTGAGAAAGCACCCTTCGCATTTGGGACCAAGAGGAGCAGTCTTGAGCAGGACTACTACGAGTGTCTCGATCAAGACACTGTAAGCATCGTCGACCTCAAAGCTACTCCGATACGAGAGTTTACAGAGAGAGGAATTACATGCGAAGACGGGTCCGAGCTCGAATTCGACACCATTGTAATGGCGACAGGCTTTGACGCCATGACAGGGAGTCTCACCAAGATGAATATCCAAGGGAGAGATGGCATCACCTTTGCAGACCGATGGAAAGACGGCGTCTTCACTCATCTGGGACTTTGTTCCAATGGATGCCCTAATCTGTTCATGGTCTACGGGCCTCAGGGTACGTTATTTCAACACCAAAACCTTTGCCACCATTCGGCCGTTGACATGTCTTTTTAGCACCCACGGCGTTTAGCAATGGACCTCCATTCATTGAGAGTCAGGTTGACATGATTGCGGAACTTCTTCAGAAGCTCCAGAAAGAGGGTATCAAGTCCATTGAAGCACAGCGGAATGCCGAGGAGAAGTGGAAGCAGGCAATCCAGGCTGCCAATGACAGGACCTTAATGCCCTTGACCGACTCGTGGTATAACGGAGCCAACATACCAGGCAAGAAAAGAGAGCAGCTGATGTACCTAGGTGGAGTTAAGAAATATCAAGAGGAATGCCGAGAGGCACTAGCAACTCTAGAGGGGTTCGATGTTGTACTTGATGAGGAGAGGAAAGGTTCAACGGTAGCATCATAATGTTTGAGCCATGTCTTTCTCCTACAAATCGCACACAATAAAATTACGGTGCCATCCCGAGGACGCATGCCCTGAATCAGAATAGGGCGTGGGTTGCGGAAAGAAAAGGGGTAGCCGCGTCTAGTAGCAAGTATAACACACGCCTCTCATGCGCTGCAAAGACTTCTAAAGAGAGCATTTGTCTTATTTCGGCGTCGATTACATTGATTTCTGCCTGCAAGTGAGAAGCGTCGTTCCTCGGGTCCTCAACTCTAGTTCATTGTGTCCCACCAAAATAGATCATGACAAAGGCCAAAAACTTCAAAAACATACAACACCAGGTATTCGCTGGTCGTCACCGACCCAACTACTAATCCGGCCCTCATTGGCTTATCTATGGGAGAGCGGACGGGATCCCGAGTTTTCCAATGGGTATGGTCGTATGTGGTGGTTGAAGCTCGTGGTGATGCTGATAGTGCCCCTTACGGTGAGATCGTTTGGTGTTTACTCAAAACAACCCCCACAACGGTACACCGTAACTTCATAAGAGATTTGAGGCATCAAATACTGTAAATAACCATGAGAATTCTCGTAACATTTCTGTTTCATGACAATATGCCTCTTGGAGAAGGTGTTCGTTGGGAAAACCGGGTTTTGGGGCACCCAGCGGCCATTCTAAGTCTCAAGTCTGATTATCTTGATCTTGCAGCAAACGCAACGATCTCTACAGCATGTCTCTCATAGAATCACTGGCAAGGTCTTGGCAACATATTTGTGAGGCTTCGGAACAGCCCGAAACAAGCGCAGGATAGACGGAGTTATTCAAGCAGATCACCCTTGCCATTCTGCCTTTGAGGCTGAAGCTGCATGCACCTGAACACCGGTACAAGTTCTGTACGTCTTTCTCCAAGTTTGGAAACACGCAAATTTCTTGTCTTGTCCGATCGATGGGCTTTTTGACCTGTGTTCAGCGCCAATGACTCAGGGGTCCGACTTGTTGGCTGACTCTCAATCGCAAAGAGCACCTTTTAAACAAGTGCAGTGTGCGCTTGCTCGTCGCTCGGGGTAAGGTAGTTAACGCAGGATTGCAACTCTATATCCTAATTCCTCCCTCTCTTCAATCGAGGTCTTTGGTCACCGAATAGCCCGCCCGGATGCGCTCCAGCCAACCTCAGCAACAATTCTAAACAGTCTACCGATCAACAGCGATTCTGTGCGGGACAAGCATCCGTTCAGGAGAACGTTCAAGCCGTAGCCAGCGAATCTGTCCATCTACAGCCTGGAAGTCGCCAAGACCTGTGTTCCCAACGGAGAGCATGTCCTCGTCGAAGTTGAACCAAAGATGGCACTCTCACTGCGGAATACCCTCGAGCACCGAGGTAATCCCGTCATGTGGTGTCGTGGTGATCTGAGGAAATGTCTTTCTGAATCAACAAGGTATCCAGTGTCACAATGTGCAGGCATGTACTCTCGAGCCTCACGGCACGTCTGTAGGCTATGGCTGGGCCGGGGCAATTGGGTTCTTGTGATACTTGCAAAAGAGCTATAGATATGTATGATACCAACGAAAAGTAACGCCGCTGAGAGCGAGTAGATTTATTGTGCAAAGTATCGGATGAACTTGAAAGAGTTGTCCCCAATAATTGTGAATTAGATCAAGTGCAAGGACGCGGCATCGGCCCAATTGCTGGCCCGATACGGGACATATCTTAGATGCCAAGACAACCCTGCCCGATCAAGGTCGCACCACCTTTTTCTTGATGTGCCTTTCGGGTTCGTGTTCGTTCTTCGTCATCGTATACGGACTTTATTCGGCTCGGGTCCCTCAGCCAGCTCTCCGAAATACAACTGAGCATCGTGAAGTATTGTAGTAGTTTAGCAGACGAGGTAAGTCATGGATCTGCGTTTACAGGTAGGCATCTGGAGGGTTTTGCAGCCTGGTGGGCGCTGTGCTGAAACTTCCAAACCGATGCTTGGGCAATTCAACTTTGTTGGTATTATTCCTGGTAAGCTGAGATGATGTTTCTGACACCCAAGAGCCCTTCGGGTTCTCTCGTTTGCTGCCTGCAGTTCTTCGCAAGCTTGTAGCTAACTATCGTTCACGGCGAAGAGCCCTACATAAGTATCGACTGTCTTTTAAAGATATACACGAGGCTGCTACACTATTCAAGTGCTCCTCGTGATTATCAGCACGTGTCAAACTCTTCTGTCGAAATTGAAAACATGTGTGGGCCAGAGCAGTATTGGTGTACATGATTCTAGTTGGATAGATTGCGCGGCCGACGACTACCGCACAGTGGATCTCGTCTTTACTTTGGCTGACAGCTAGTCGAGTATCCAACATGATATGTTGAGTCTACTGGTAAGATGATAAGAATGGGTCATCGAAATTGCCTCTACCCCCTAGGCCACTTGGGCTATTACATGGAGCGATGACATCCCGCCGGAGCAACTGTCTACCGGCGGCATGATCGGACAGTCGACGAGATCAACGCGCTGTCGAAAACAGATAAAATCTCAGGAGTTGTCGTTGGAGGCCATGGCTATCCATAGCTTGACACCATTGTCCGGCTACTGGATTTTGACCTACTACAGCGACCCCTCTATCCTACACGATGCATGCTCTCTACTTCTTACTGGCGGGTTTCGCCACGGCTGCTGCTGTCACAGAGACACCATGCGCAGAGAAGGCGGCCAAGGTCTGCCAGGGCCTCAGAGGTGATTTTGGCAACTCAACTCTTCTTCCTGAAGACGGAGCTTACACCCAGGAAGTCCAAGGTGAGTCCAACGTCCTGTCCTGTGAACTCTTCCAAGCCCAGAAGTTCCACTGACACGGCACCCAATATCCAGTTCCGTGGTCCGCGAGGTCTTGGCTCCGTCCGGCCTGCATATTTGCGCCACTCGACGCTCAGCAACTATCATCTGGCCTTCAGCGCATCGTGGACCAGCAAGTCGAATTCGCCATGCGGGGAAGAGGGCACATGCCCATATCCAACGCAAGCAGCATCGGCGCCACCGGTATCCTGATATCGAGCAGAAACATGAGGACCCTCCAACTCTCCGACGACCGCGACACGTTGACCATCGGCCCTGGTCTCCGGTGGTCCGACGTGTACATGGCGCTCGACGGTACGGAAGTCACTGTCCTCGGCGGTCGAGGCAGCCCGATCGGCGTCTCCGGTCTCTTGCTGGGAGGCGGCGTCTCCTTCTTCAGCTACGAGTATGGACTGGCGTCGACCAACGGCAATATCAAGGCATATGAGGTGTGTGAGACACACCGCGCGAGCACTCTGAGTTCTGAAATTGCTGACACAAGAGGGCAAGTGCGTCTTGGCTGATGGCAGCATCGTGCAAGCTACGCCGTCCGACGACCATGCGGATCTCTTCTGGGCGCTCCAAGGAGGCGGAAACTCGTTCTGCCTAGTCACCCGCTTCGATCTCCAGACACACCGCTCCCCATCCGTGATGATCGCGTCACCCTCGTACGGCGGCGAAGAGACCAAGCAACGATTCATCGACAGCGTATACAACTTCGCCGTCAACGGGCACAATGATCCCAAGGCTGCTGTTTTGCCCGTCATCACCTACGTCAGCGGAACGGCTGGGCCAACGTACTCCTCGACACTCTTCTACAACGGAAACGCCACTCAGCCGGCGGTCTTGGCGGACTTCCTCGGCGACATCCTCACCCCAGACAACAGCTCAAGGTCCCTCGTCCCGTTTCCCATGGGCCGTTACCACCAGGCCGTCGAACCATCCTTCCAAGAGGGCGGCCGCTCCTACGGTTCCAGACAGCGGTTCCACATGCTTCCCATCTACGCCAATAAGGAGGCCATGCTCATCGCCCACGACATGTTCTTCGAGCTCGCGAACGCCACCTTTCAGGATACGCCTGGCGGCATCATCGGCTTCGCCTTCAACCCCATCACGTCGGCCTTTCTCGCAGCCACAAACGCCCGGCCGGGTGCGTTGCAGGGTATCGACGAGTCGCCTGCGTGCTGGATCGAGCAGACGTACAGCTGGACGGACGAGGTCGACGACCAAGTCTTTGATACCTTCATCAGCGAGTTCAACACCAGAGTCAGGGAGACATTGGAACCCATGGGGGCGCTGTATCCGTTCTACTATCTGAACGAGGCAGACGTCGGCCAGCCTGTCTTTGAGAGCTATCCCGCGGGGAACCTGGACCGCCTAAAGGAGATTCGCAACAAGTATGACCCTGCTAGGGTATTTACGGATCTGATGCCGGGAGGTTTCAAGGTTGCCGACGCTTGAGCGGCGGCTGATACATGCGAAAGTAGAACTAGCGCGTGCGGATGTGATGAACAGGACATGTGGGTTGGAATCTGCGACTAGGCCAAGTCGTTGTTGCTCCATCCATGATCTTATCTACCATGCCAGATGCTTGATGGCGCCGATGTGAGCTTGATTGGCGATCCCTCCCCTCCCCTGGGGGCAGAGTGAGTCAGAGGCTTCACAAGAGCTCATTAGTACAAATACTTTCCTAGCCGTTAATCTCCCAAAGTGATAACAAAACCGGTCTGGCAACGTCCCAATGACCCTTGCCCTGAATGGTCTGATCTATGCACTGCTTAAAGAGGTGAATCTTCGGTGATGATGCTTTCTGCAGGAAGAAAACAGGTGATGGGGCGGTATTGAGGTGGACCAAGGGGGTGACTGTCTGGTATAGTCATTGAAAGTTGACCGGATGATGGCAAGCACGCAATGTTTGTAAATCAAGCGATGCGTTATACTTACCGTTCCGTTGTCCTGGACCTCAGTTGTTATGTCCACTAGGCTCCAACCTCACACATAGGGAGACATCACTGTGGGCGTGCTCGAGCACTTGCATTTGTCTTTGGGACTCTATTCGGGATATCTCGACGTGACTTTTGGGGTGGTCTATGATCATCAAAACCGACATGAACTCCATTACCAGCCGCCGTATATACCCATTTAGTCCTCATCCCAGTTCTACACTGTATGTCAGCACGTAGTAGTCGATGTACACACAGAATATGACTTACAGGGTTGGGGCCAGGAGGCTTGGGGCCACCTGCCCGACGAGCCACAATAATCTGATCAACGGAAAGGACAGTACGGGCTGCCTCGGTGGCGAGCTTAATGGCCCATGACTTAGAGACCAACAGGTCCAAGATGCCCTCATCGCGGGCGTCAAGGGTGCCAGAGCCGTCGTCATTCTGTAAAGGTTAGCGTGGCGTTCCAGGACAAACAAAACCCTTGCGCTTACCTCAACGTCGACACCGGTGGCCCAGTCGTCCTTCTTGTGATGAGCTCCGTACAGCCTGCTAAGAACCTCCGTGGCATCCAAGCCGGCACTCTCTGCAATCGTTCTCGGAATGACCTCAAAGGCCTCGCCGTACTTGCGAATGGCGTATTGCGACAAGCCAGGGGTCTTCTCGCCGAGAGCGTTCAGCCTCTCAACTAGCTGGATCTCGGTGGCACCCGCGCCGGGCACAAGGCGAGGGTCTCTAGTGATAGCCTTGACGACGTTGACGCCGTCGTCGACAGCGCGCTCGACGTCGTCCAGGTGGTTCTGGGTAGCTCCTCTGAGGACCAGGGTCGCTGTTCTTGTGGCCTCGTTCTCTTGTCTGAACACGGTCACGCGGTCTCCACCAATCTCGAGGGTCTCGACGACGTCGATGGAACCCATCTCATCGGGCATCGGCGCACCTAACCGGGCAAGGGGGGTTGCGCCAACCACTCTGCAAATTCTTCGCAGCTCAAACTTGCTGAGAATCTTGATGACAAGGATGCCAAATCTGTTAAGGTAGTGGAGGGCCAGCTCGCCGACGGTTGAGCCAGCAATGACCACTCTGATGCCAACATCGTGGAGCTCCTTGATGGCAGCCTCGAGGTGCGACTCCTCGCCCTTGGTGAAGTCCATCATCTCCTTGGCGTTGTGGAGGAGAACGGTTCCCTTGGTCTCAGTCTGACTGGTGTCGATGGGGCAGGAGAAGACTCCGACCTTGGCACGCTGCGCCTTCTTGATCGATCCATCGGGCTCCTTGGGGAAGACCATACCCTTGACTACCCGACTCTGCTCCAGAGCACCACCCATGATCTTGACGACTCTGATGTTGTCGACGTTGAATCCGACGGGGTTCTTGGGCAGCACTGCCAGGACGGCCTCGGCGACAAGGTCAGCCAAGAAGTCCTCACTGCCGTTCTGCTTGCTGGCGACGACGGTGCGGATAGCCTTGCTGAGCTCCTCTTGCGAGCGAATATCCTCCACCTTGTCGACAGAAAGCTCCTCGAGTGTCTCGAGAGCGAACTTTTGTGCACGCTCGTAACCGGTAACGATATCTGACGTCTTCAAACCCATACGCAGCAGGTCCTCAGCCTTCTTCAGCAGCTCACCAGCGAGGACGATGACCAGGTTGGTGGCATCACCCATCTCGGCCTCCTGCTGTTGACTGGCCATGACCAGGAGCTTAGCTGCCGGGTGGACGACATCGAGTTCTCTGAGGATGGTGGCGGCGTCTGAGGTGAGGATCATCTTCTGGAGGTGGTTGATGACGATCTTGTTGCGGCCGTAGGGGCCAAGGGACGTCTGGACCGTCGACGAGATGGCCCGGCAGGCGTCGATGTTGCGAAGCACGGCGCCATCTTCGGAATCGTAGCTGGTTACGAGGGGTCAGTGTCGGTGACGGGCATCCAAGGCGGGGGAGGGGAGGGGAGCTCCAGATTGGAAAAAGGGGACTCACTTGTTGTACCCCTGCTTGAACAGGTTGGCGTTCGGCGCGTTGGGGATGTTGAGAGACATGATGGGCCACCGACCTGATGCGCTTCGTAAATCGGGGCGGTGTCAGTCGTGAGGCTCAAAAACAACAGTGTAGAATGTACCCTGTGTGTTGATGATGTGGTTGCGGCAGCTCCTCCTCTACGGTGCAGGCCTTTCGAAAAAAAAGTCTGGGTGCAAGGCGTGTGTGGTGCGGGAGCGTATTGCTGCAGCCTTGGTGGGCTGGTACCGGGGATGACCAATCACGACGCTGCAGGCGAGCCATTGTTCCGATCCGGCGCATCTGGTGCATTCTAAACTTTGGGCCACAGCTTAACAGGTGCTGGAACCACCCCCGTCCGGACGGAGAAAGAAACACTGGAACCCCTGCATCCAAACTCCCAAGGTTCAGGTGCGTGCCTAGGCCTAGGTGTTGTCTGTGTGAGACAGCAGCAGCTGCCAGCCTCGCACTTCCCAGCTGGCGTGTTTGCTGCGTGCTGATTTCTGGCGACATTTCGCCCATTCCCGATTCCCTCGCGCGCTCTTTTATCCAGTTCCAACTCTGCCATCTTCAAATCCGCGTCGCAATCGAGCCTCAACTCACCTCCTTCGTCCGTTTGGCGTGCCCTGTACTACCCTATCACTCTTGACCTTTGCAGATACGTAATAATGGCTCCGCAATCCGGTACGTTTGTAAACTCCCTTGGAAAATCAATGAACCTACCACCCTCGCAAAGCTCCGCTTGACATCCGCCGCGAACCCCATCTCGTCGCAACTCATTCCCCCCGTACCTTGTCTTTGGGGGAAAAAAGCCAATTCTCTCTCCCACCCCTTCCCACTCGATACGATTGGGATATCGCCGGATAGCCCACGCACGCACAATGCCTCCCAAAAAGATCATTCGAGCTAACCCCCCCGCGATCGACCTCTCAGCGATTCCGCCTTCCCTACCTCCCTCCGTCGAAGAGGCCTATCGGCGAAAATGCATCCAGCTTAAGCAGCGCACCGGCGAGGTTGAGGAGGAAAACGACGCGACCCGAGTTCGCCTCGCCCGGATCCGACGACAAATTGAGAAGCTGCGGATGGAGAGAGCCTTCCTGCTGGAACAGCTGGCTAAGAGAACGAGCGCCAACGTGGAGGATTCAGACGGCAGCCCGAGCCCGCCCCCGACTGTAGGCCCTCCGCCAAGCCCACCTCGACGACAAAGCAGGATGCTGACACCATCTCAGCCGCAAGAAAAGCCTCTGCGTACGAAACGCGGTCACCGCAAGCCCTCCGTCCTGGCCGAGATCGACTCGGCCGCAAAGGCCAACTCTAGGCCCCTCAGCCAGACCGCCGCCACCGTTTCGCCCAGCTCCGAGACCTTCTCCCACACCCAGGGCGGCGACGCGACCCAGGGCACCGATACCCAGGCAACGGCCCGCACCAACGGCGTCGCGAAGCCGCCCAAGCGACCCGGCAACGCGTTCGAGATGTACTGCGCCGACACGCGGCCCGCTCTTGAGGAGAAGAACAAGGACGACGCCGATGCCAACATTGAGGAGGAGCTCGCCCGTGGTTGGAAGGATCTCCCCGAGGGCGAAAAGGAGGAGTTTCAGACCCGCTCCGAGGAGGAGATGGCCAAGTACCAAAAGGAAAAGGACGCATTTGCGGCCAAGAGCAAGAGCGCCGAGGCCAAGGACGAGGACGAGGAAGAGCGCGACAAGTCACCAGAGCCCGCACCAGCTGCGTCACAGGACGAAGATGTGGAGATGACCAACTACGATACCGAAGAGCAGGCAGACGACACGCCCGCGGCCGACGACAAGGACGACAAGGCGGATGATTGATGACCACGCGGCACATCGTCCTTGTAAACAGGTATTATGGCGTTGGGGAGGGACTTTGCGAGTAGAACATTCCTTATTTATTTGTACAATACGAGAGACACCATAATCGACTCCTGGGAAACGGAGTGGTTTGTTGCTGCTGCTGACTAGGATAGCACCCTCACCCTCCAGCTACGTGATCTGCGCTGTGAAGCCCGTTCTCTATTGCACCACTTTGACGGGGCTCGTGGATGTTCTGTGTGCCCTGTTTTGTGTGAATTACCTTCCCCATTGCTGAGCTTTTCCCTCCGCCTGTGAAGACCCCGCTGTGCAAGAAAGAAAATCCAAAATTCCTACTTTGTATGCGTGCCATGAATGTTACTAATCCGATGCATACAAGTCCACCACGATATTGATGGCTGCGACGACAATCTCAGCCGCAATGAGTACAATTACTATAGGTAGGCATTGTCAGCAAAAGGTCGCGCGGCAAGCAAGAAAAAGGGGTGCGGGAGGCAGGCCTACCAATCCACTCCAGCTTCTCTCCGTGTCCGTGACTGAGCTGGTCTTTGAGGACCGCCAGCAGGTCTGCAATGACGTCCAGGCGCTCGTTGAGGAGTCCGACGCGCTGGTCCATCTCGAGGTAGGTTCGGACGGCCTGGTACACGGGCTCCAGCTGCGGCTCGACCCAGAACAGCTCCGGCGTGTCGAGGACAGAGCCGTTGAGGTGGATGTTGATGCGGAGGATGAAGAGCTCGCCGATCTGCATGTTGATTTGCGTGCGGCTGAGGGCGATCTTACCCGTCAGCGCGATCTGCGTGGGGATGTCTTTACACGTGTCGACGGTTGAAGCAATCAGTTCCTCGAAAAGCGATGTCTATCCCGAATATGTCAGTCACCGAGCACTCTCCTACTTTATGAACAGCTTCCTTACCTTGACACTCTGTGCTAGGGCGTGAGAAATGGCCAGCTTGGTCATGTAGTTCCTCTTGTCCCTCAAAGTGATGAAGTCATTGTAGATACGGGCCTGATACTCCTTTGTGTAGTAAAAGTTAAAGTGCTCCGTCTCAACATCGTCTGGCGACAGCTTTTCCGTCTCGAACTTGGCAAGCTCTTTGAGGAACCTCTGCTCTTGGGCAAGAGTCATGCCCCATATCACAACAACTCCGTAATCAAAGAGGAAGACCTCCGGGGTGTGGATTTGTGTGTCAAAGTCCCCCTCGACCATCGCGTGCTCGTTGCTGGCGCCCTCGAACCCGTCGGCGAAGCCAGAGTCGTGCCGACCCTCAGACTGAAGGTCGATGAGGTTGTCCCGAGCGAAACCGTTGTCCGAGACGTCGCCCGTCGAGTGCCGCCTCTCATACGCCTGGACCGGATCAGGCTGCGCGCCTACTCTACGATCGTGCCTGTTCTCGACCGTCTTGCTATAGTCGTACGCCGTGTAGATGCACTCGTCAATGAGCTTGGGATTGGCGCCCCTCGACTTGCCGCGGCCCTTGAGGAAGCGCATGAGCCCTTCCATCTGGTACTTGTTCGCCGTGCAGTACGCCGTCACCCTGGGCAGCCTGTCGCGGTCCGCCTTGCCCAGCCGGGCGGCGTCTCTACGCGCCGTGGGGTCCTTGATCCTGGTGTACTGCGAGTACACGTCCCTCCCGCTCTCTTCGTCGGGGCTTTCTTCGTTGAGCTCGGGGTTGGGCAGCAGCTTCAGCTTCTGCGCGTTCTTGGTGCTCCGCTGGGGACCGATCTTGGGCACCATCTGCGGCGGCAGGCTCTGCACGGCGCCATGGCTGTTTCTCCTGCGCAGCTTGTTGTTGATGGAGGATAAGGCCGAGCTCTGCCCGGGGCTCGCCGCCAGACTGTTGCTGTGGCTTGATTTTGATCGTTGAAAATTGGGCTCCGGTTCGATGGTCTTGGATACGGGGTTCGGGTTGAACGTGACGGTTCGCGACGACTTGGGGCGGAGTTCTGTCGTTGGTAGTAGAGGCGTGTTCTCAGTGGCCGAGGCCGATGCGGTTGTCGTTGTTGTCTGGTCCATCCTCGGAAAAAGCTTTCTTCTTTTCTTTCTCTCTCTCTCCGCGCGCACTCTCTCGCTCTCTGTCTCTTACTCTTTTCCTCTACCTCTCTCGCAGCTCAGGGGGTATCACAGATATGGAAGAAAAGAAAGAAGGGGAAAAAACTATAATTCGGTTCGACTTGAACAGCGGAAGAGAATGTCGTCGGTTCGTGGGTTATCGCATGTCGCAACTGAGTACAAGGTGTTGTAGATGATTATTGTCCACGACTGGACGGGTTCCGGAGAAAGGTCACTGCTGCGTGTGGATGGTGTGGAAAGCGACCGAGACTGCCCTGTGCTTTGCTTGCTGGGTCCGGCCAGTGCTGGATTTGCACCTCACCTCATGCACCATGGACTGATGACGTCCTAAGTTTTACACGAATTGGGGAGCCTCCTGGGCCTGGCCCTTCGAGCTGCGTGCTCCTCTAATTCTGCGGGGAAAGCTGCTTTCGGGGCGCTAATTACCCGACGTCTACCAAATGGAATGCACTACCTAAGGTACCTTGGGAACCTAGGTGCCTTGCTTGGGTACGGAGTACCTCACTTTTGTATGCGCCCATTTGCCCTCTGCAGGACGGTTAGGTCGGTCCAGCGCGCCGGCGACAACTCCACAATGGGAAGTTGAGAACATTTGGGATGCATCTCCAGTGCCAACCTAATTGGAAGCATCACGCTGCAAGTGCTGTCAATTGGCTCAGGTTGCAACCCTAAACCCCGGGCCTATCTGCTTAGCTTGGGTAGCTGTTGTAAGCTCCCCTGGCTATCATCAACAATCGACGTTGCATCCTGTTGTCAGCTTGTTTCGCGGGCAGGATGCTTAGTTTATGCGGCAACGATCATCACGCACATGAACCCGTTCTTTCAAATTTGAGTACTAGGTATAAGTTTCGATAATTACCGCATACATTTGAACAATCCGTTTACATTGAAGCGAAACCATCCCCAAGTCATTATCGGTGAACAATACAACACGGTTGAGAACCGGTACCTCCGCTGGACCGTCAGTGTTCCAGGATCTTCTCCTCAAAGTTGAAGCCGACCCCCTGCAACCGATCAATGAACGGCTGTCCCAAGCACGACGGAGTAAAGACACCGCCGGGCAGGTCGACGTCTTCTTCCAACAACGTTGACGCAGCTTGAGCCAACAGAACAGCCGTCACTATTTGTGTGTGTCCAGTCAGCATTCCGTCATCCTCGACCAATTAGAGGAAACCAAATTCAACTCACAGTAGTACATGCTGCCGTCGTACCAAGCACGACAGTAAGCCTTGGGAAACTCCGTCTTGGACTCCTTATCCGGGCTGGCAATGCCACGATACTCAATCTTGTCCTTCTTTGAGAGCTCCTTGTCCGGGCCCTGGCCAGGTTCGTAGACAAATTTCTTCACCAACTTGCGGAACGGCGCAGCAGTCGCAAGCAGCAAGCCGAAGAACGCCAATCCCCAGTGAATAGCCATTCCCTGGAGGTAACCCTTTGCTCTCATATACTCGTGGAACGAAAAGTTTGGCCCGTAGAACTGTTTCTCGCGCGAAGGCACCGATGCCAAGAGACCCCATGTTCTTTGGATGATGGGCGTATCTGTCATCCCAGCAATGGACGTAGTCATCAGTCCCAGGCTGGGAACGTTTCGCAATCCCACCAACTTGGTCAGCAGGGACGTCTGCGACTGAACCTTGTTGTTGTTTGGAACGGGCGAGAGAGCATATGGTTTGTGCTGGTCTCTTACTTGCTGAATCGTGAATGACTCAAACAAGTTGAGGACTGTCGCCAGGGTACCGCCAGACGGAGCCGAACTAACAGACAAATTTCGGCGTTAGAGCAACGTTCTGTCAATGTTTCACCACCACCCCAGTCCAATGATCATCAATGATACGGCGAGATGGAAAAGAACCTACTTCAGCTTGTGGATGGAGACCGTCACGGCGCCTGTCTTGGCCGAGAGCTTCTCGCGGACCTGCTTAGCCAACGACCAGGTGACGAGGTCTGGCGGTGCCGATTCGATTCCAATTTGGGGAAACATCATGGCGCCTGTTTCTTGTGCCGCACTTTCATATTTGCCAATCATTGTGCCGGTCCAAGGGGTCTCGCCGGTAACATCCAGATAATGCGTGCCATTCTCGGCGCAGGCTCGGAAGGCAAACTCGCCATATTTCGCATACGGGCCGACGGTGGTGATGAGAATATATGTCTTTTGGGCGAGCGCCTCAAGATCCTCGTGGTTGAGACCGCAGACTTCGATTTCTGTAATTGGTTAGTACTTCTGAATGGTGACTTATTTGGCTAGGCCTGCATGACAGATCCAGCCCCTCTCTCGAGCAGCTCGTCACCACTTCCCCCCTCCAATACAGGTTGTTTATTGACTTGACATCTCCAGCGTGTGGTAGCCTCATCCATTGCTAGCACGATTGAGAATGCAAGAAGCCGAGACAGCCACTTCATTGGTGAGGATCAGACACTCATCTGATCTCGGTATAACCTAAAATCCTTCTACGTACCAGGCTGCAGTCTGTCGGGGCTCTGCTTCTTGCACTCGGCAACAAGACCTTGAAGCTTTGTCTCCGATCGACCTGCGACTGCCCATTTCAAATTGGTCGGCAGATGGGTTGTAATGTGCTCTGCCACGAACGTCCCGGTGTAGCCTTTTTGCAGTTGTCAGCAATTGGACGTTAGGTTGCATCATGACTGCATCCTCGACTTATACACACCGGTAGCACCAAAAACGACCAAGTCGTACTGACGGCCGTGCTGCTTGAAAGGCATCTCTGAGGCTTGCTCGACGTCTCCTGTCAACAATAAGTCTGGCCTAGAAGGGAGTCGGAATAAGGAATGGCAGTTGCAAGATTGAAAAGAAAAAAAGAGTCAGGGTGCATGAGTCTCAGACATCAATGATTACACTCAAAAGTCATGCGGCGGCCGGCCATCTTTACATATCCCAGCACGCCACGAAAAGTGGCACCAATGTCCGGCC